AAGGGTTTCGTTGGACTCAACAGAGTGTTTTTCAATAAGGCTTTTGACGGAAGGTCGAATGAAAGGTGAGTACAAGATGATGTTAAGCTCTATTTTACTTTCTAACCCCATTTTGTGTTGTATAAGTTAGTCGTATACTCTGTAGTTTTTATTTGGTTATAACAAATAATATCAAGAGGAGTCGATCTGATTCAGTAAGTGCTCTTCAATATAATAATCACATGTTTGATGTAAGAAATCATATTGTTGTTATCGTCAGAATTCTGATGTATAAGAGTCGCAAATAACAACATACCTGCATTTATTACTAGCAATTCTAAAAAAAATCAGTATACCACACTATCTTTCTCATCCTATTTCATAGTATAGGCTTAAAATCTACTGTTTTTTTTTCAGGTCAGGCATTCATCGGCCTTGCATGTGAATCAACTGCCAAACAAGCGTTGGAAGCCACAAATGGTTATATGCTATATGATCGTCCGATGGTTGTTCAATTTGCTAGAGGTGCTAAAGCAAAACCAGATGAAAAAAGTTTATTATTATCGAATTAATGCTTTTGATAATTCATATCTTCAGGAGGATTCACATCCAAAGTTTGGAGCTCGCCTATGACCATTTCGTTAGAAACCAAATAATTGTATATGTTCTATGTACAAATTGTAAATATAAAAACCAATGGCACATTGCATTGTAACAGTTTTATGATCTGTCACAGATACAGCGATTTCAGTGAGTCTAATAAACAATATAGTTTGTCAGCAACAAAAGTATTAAGAAGCATCCATTTCCATTGCGTACTATTGAGAGACGTTTCCATTCTTGTAACTACTATGAAAGTGTTTTGAGTTGACAAATAATAAATTTCAACCATGTTCATAGCCGTCCATCAGTTTGTCGAAGTATGAAAATCCTGTGGTAATGTCTTTAACACCTCTAGTCATTTTAGGATGTAATTTTATTTATTTATTTATTTGAACACATAAATATTGGTACAAGAGAGCGCCAATATATATGCGCCACACAAAACAATGGGAATTCGAAGAGAAGAAGAAAAAAAAAACTAAGGAACGCAAAAGAAAAAGAGAGTAATGACGAAGAGGTACAATCAGAAGAAATCTTTCAGGTAAAGGAGACACAACCACTTTTTATGAAGAAAGTAAAAGAAGGTTACAGCAGGATCGCCACTGGCTTCTATTCTGAGCCATATCTGATAACGTCTCTAGCCAATGTGTAGCACCATCTCTCAGACCCCAACCAGGGAGTCGTGAAGGATCAACACAAGCCAGTCCTTTGCAGCTTTCTTTCATGCCACGACACCATGTCATGCACTGACCACCTCTCCGCTTCTTCCAACCAGTCCCAGAGTCGGCAAATAATGCACGACGTGGAATTCTCTGGGACGACATTCGGAGAACATGTCCAAGCCACCGAAGTCGGTGTTTCAAGATGGTGACACCAATTGAGTTATCATCTCTGTGCCCGAACACACGATGCCGAACCTCTGCATTACTGACATGGTGTTGCCACTGAATGTCAGCAATCCTTCGGAGACAGCGATGATCGAACACAGAGAGTCGTCTAACGTCCTCAACTCGGAAAGGCCAGGTTTCACAAGCATAGAGCAAAACTGCTCTCACCGACGCGTTGTAGATCCGGCCTTTTACAGCCAGACTAACATCACGAAGGCGCCAAAGGTGGCCCAGATTGGCATAAGCCGCTCTGGCTTTCACTATTCGTGCATTGATCTCATCACTCACACCCCCACCAGCACTTATGCAGCTACCCAGATACACGAACTTCTCAACTACGTCTATCTGCTCACCATCCAGGGTGAGTACAGGATTAGAATCCTGCCAGTCTTGTAGAAGTACTTTGCACTTCGAAGGTGCAAAGCACATACCATACCTACGGACATTGATTGCCAACTGATTAAGTGCGGATTGCATGCCTGGGGCATTATCGCACAGTAAGACAATATCATCCGCATACACAAGGTCGAGAAGTCTTTCTCCAGGCAACAGATCCACACCACCATTACTTACATCCATCAGAGCTGTTTCCAGAATGTCATCGATGGCAAAGTTGAAGAGGAATGGTGAGATTGGGCAACCCTGCCTAACCCCACTGCTCGAATGGAACAATGGAGAGAGGTGGTTGTATGCCCTCACTCTGCCTGAGGTGTTTTTATACAGGGCTTTTAGGATGTTAATAAACTTCTCAGGCACACCCTTCTTCAATAGACAATCCCAGAGAACAGTCCTATCCAACGAATCGAAGGCAGCCCTGATGTCAAGAAACACTACGATTGTTGGCCTTTGAAAAGTATGGCGGTGTTCTAACATTTGGCGGAGGGTGAAGATATGATCAATACATCCTCGACCAGAACGAAACCCAGCCTGCTCCTCGCGAGTCAATCTTTCTCGGGTTTTGAACAACCTACGAAGAATGACGGAAGCCAATAGCTTTGACGCAATCAGAAGTAGACTTATCCCCCGATAGTTGTTACAGGAACGACGTGAACCCTTTTTAAAGATAGGGACAACTATCGACTCATTCCATGACGTTGGTACACTCTCTAGTTCCCAAACCTTTGTAAACAACGTCGTCAATTCCTTAGTCAAAAAGTCACCACCATCTTTAAAAAGAGCCGGAGGTAAGTCATCTGGGCCAGGTGATTTGTAACGCTTCAAGAGTTGGAGTTCCTTGCGGACTTCCTCCTCATTTGGTGGATCAGTCGTCACCGGCCATGGAGGGCAGGACAGTCTGACCGATGTTGCCGGAGCAGCAGGCCAGTTGAACTGCCCTTCGAAGAATTCTGCCCATCGTCCAAGACGTCGATGGATGTTAGTGATTGGCATCCCATCATCCTCGCAGATTGTTTCACTCACACCAGACTTCTTGCTGCCAGTGGCTCGGATGAGTTGGAAGAGCTTCCGGTAGTTACCAGATGCAGCTGCTGCTTCCAGCTCATTAGCACGCATCGACCACCAGGCTTCTCGGTCCTTACGCAAGCTTTGCCCGATTTCCTTACGTAACATCCTTCGTTTATGGTCAAACTCACGGTCACCCGGAGTAGACCGACGGGCTTCAATGAGTTGTAAGGAACCAGAAGAAACCCAGTGCTTAAAAGCGGGACGTTTCGCAAACCCACAACTGACTGTTCCCGCCATTTTCATGGCGTCATGCAATTGCAACCAATGCTCATCTATACTTTTCGGTGGAGTGGTAGCTAGCCTAGAGGCTAGCTCGGTTCGATACTTACTTGCAACAGAAGTTGCAACCAGCTTGCTAACATCAATCCGTTGATGGCGTTCACTTCGTTGTCCACTGAAAAGTAAGGCAAGATTGGCGCAGACCAAGGCATGGTCAGAGTCCAGATAGGTACTCCAAAAGGAGCGGCAGTCTTGTACACAACCACGCCAGCGGTAGCTGATCGCGATGTGATCAATCTGAGTCCAGGCTTGAGATGCAGAGGGAGGACGCCAGGTGGCACATCGGCGATGACTGTGCCGAAAGTTAGTGCTAGCCAGAAACAAATTGTGGTCTGTGCACAGTTGCAGTAGACGGTCCCCGTTATCTGACCTGCGACCAACGAGTCCCCATCGGCCACCTAAACGACTCTCTTCTGTGCCTAGACGCCCGACCTGAGCATTCAAGTCTCCGGCTAGTACTACAATATCTGTCGAACGCACTTTCTGGAGAAGAACTGATAACTGGTGGTAAAACTCATCCTTGATTGCATCCGGGCTGCAATCTGTTGGGGCATAGGCGGAGATGACGAAAAGACATCGTTTCTCACGCCGATTTCTTCTCACTTTGATGGAACTTTCTAATATAACAGCACATAACCGACTGTTAATGGGGATCCAATCGACTAGTGCTGCCTCAGCTCTAGCGCTTAGTGCGACACCAACGCCAGCAAAACCAGACGAAGATGCTACAGGGTCCCCGGATAAGCGCACGTAAAACAAGCTTTTCGAAGCAACAGATGGAGATCGAATTTGTAGTACTTCGCCAGAGTCTTGAATACGGGTCTCGGATAGACAACACACGTCGATATTAAGACTTTCCAAAGACATAGCCAGCCCAATCTGTTGTCCGACCTGCATAAATGTGCGAACGTTGAAGGCAGCCAGTTTGAATGATGCACGTGGTTTCAAAAAATCTGCTTCAGTCCTCGTATTCGGTGGTAACATACAATTTTCAACCGGACAGTGACTCGAGAACGTTTAGATACAGTCGGAATTCCACCAAAGACGAGCCGCTGTATAAGTATAAAAGAAGGTGAATAATGTGGAAAATAATAATAACAATAATGACAATAATAGTAGTAATAATAATATTAGTATTAATAATGACAATAATTGTAGTGATCATAATTTGAATCAATTGATTGTTTTTCAAAGCGACAAAAGTAGTTTCCATAGACATAAAGCGTTCATCATTTGTGTGTGGGCTGTGATACTGCCCGGGTGCCCAAACCGAAGCAGGTGGTTATCTTAGGGGGCCACTCCCCGAGCCTTTGACCTAAAGGTCTAACCCACAAGGCAGTGGAGCATCGTAAGGAGATGCAGTCCCATGGTAGCCGGTGACCAACGATTGGTTCATACGCCATTCGTTCCCGCAGGATACTGGAGCCCATGTGCACCATTGATTTGGAATCCGGTTAAAGCGCCGGACATTCGCTTTTCGTCCTCTCATTTTCGTAAACAACACCCCCGCCACGAGAAGGCAATGAGTAGGACTTCCCTGGCAGAGGCTGTATACGCGTGGCCGTGTGAGAGTATTTCGAGAGGGAGAGCGGACTCTCCCCACTCTCGGCCGTACCAGGGCATTCAGGGGGCACTTAGCTTTTATCTACCCTTTCTATGTGAATTCTCAACTGTAAAGACTAAATATCCGCTGCAGTTTCCAGTCTACTCACAGACAGTATTCGATTTTGAATGTGTAGTAAGTGTGCAAATTTCATATATCATTACCATAATTATAGATGAAGAAAATTAAAATGTAGAAGTATATTTAGTTACATGTTAAATACATAAGATTAGGAAGTATGAAAATAAAAAGAAAAAAACATTTTGTTTGATATGTAAATATGAAGGAATCCTTGTTCACAACAATAGTGGATATTACAGTTAAAATATGAAAAGCTTTAGCTAGAATGAATTTGAGTTTGTCTAGAAAAAAGACTACGCACAATATTCGCAGTGTTACAAGAGTATGTATTAGTTTTATTGCCAGATGATGATGGCTGAACTCGAACAATTTTACGGTTTGCTTCTGCCAATCTGAACAATTCATGGCTTCGTCGAACATGAGGAGGTTGAAATGAGTCGGAAGCCAAACGACGTCGTCGTGATAAGTTTATTACAGTTTGTCTTACAAAACTACTAAGACAACGCTGACTTAATACAGATCCATTCTGTAATGGACCAGCTTCAAATGTTCGTCCTTGAAGACGCATAATGCCAACTCTGCATAATCCGGAACTTAAAGGATGAACATAAATTGTGACAGGGCAGTCAAAATTCTTGCTCGTCATATTCTGGATGTTCGTTCCAACTCCTGGTTCATAGTGCATAGGTCCATCTTCCCATCGTTCGAGCCATACAACTGCCACTCGACCTCCAGTCGGGTCCGCCCCAACTTCTCCCATGCCTACTGCACTTTGACTTGTCCCACGAGTGATGTTAGCTGGTGTGATAATTAAACAAAATATAATATTATTATAAAGGATGGGGGATTTTAATCAGTATGAGTATGCATATGTATTATTCAATTATTAAAATATCCAATTTACACGGTCTTATGTGACCTTTTTACCAAACACGATCTTACAAACACTAAACATCTAAAAAAACTCAGATTAACATCAAGTAAACTTGTAAAGGAAGTTCTTATTGTTTGTCAACTAAAATATATTTACTAGAGAACCTTGATCTATTTAGTGTTTGCTTTAATTGGATTGAATACTCTTTGGAAAACAGTTTACCATACAGATACACTGTCCTCTTATCATTTTTCTGCATGAAGTAATCTAGTCATGTGTAATATACTCCATATGGTCACTTTAATTAATATTCATCAGAAGTAATTAGTTTCCCTTGATGGAACTGTTTACTTTTAAACTTGATGAAATCTACCACCTTGTAAGCTATTGGTCACCTTTAGAGATAGATAAATTTCCAATATGCATACAACACAAACCTATTTAATAGCAATCGTCTTTAGCGTTTTAAACTATCAAATTTCCTAAAAGTAATAGTGATGAGCCCATTGTGTTAGCTACCTCAAGAGATAAATCAGGTTCAAACGTAAATTATATATCTACAAAGTCGAGTGCATTTCGTGTATGCTTCAGGAAATACCGTCCGATCAATGAAATATCCCATTTTATTCGTACTGTTTGTACTAAACCAATCACAATTATTTTAATTTTAAACTTACTTATGATTTCGCTAGCAGTGCGATAACGTGTACTCTTTAACGAACGGTTTGAGTCAGAATTCTCGTCATTTCCATAAAATTGATTAGTGGGACAAATGCATGCTAATTCTGTTATTGCATCAGCATAGTATATAATTGATTGAATACCATCCGGACAGTGGTCAGCATGTATATTTTTCGTCTGATTACAGTGACCCGTCACAAAGTATCCATTTGATGTACGATAGCTAGTTTGAAGGTTCCCTGTCCAACCTGAATGATCAGAAATATCTTTGATACAGCCGATACCACTTAAGAACTGATGAAATGCTTCAGGTAGTCTTGACCAAATCTTCTGTTTAGCAAATAAAAAAAATTACGTACATGAACAGAACTAGGTAGGTGGAAATCCAGGATTAATGATAAAACGTAATAAAAAATTATTCACAAATCAACATTACTGAGAAACTGTCTAAACATTTATGGAATGTAAAATATACTTTCGTGGAGTAAGTTATGTAGGAGTCATATATGTACAAAATTCAAAATTAAATGATGAACAAATGCCAATACTGTGTAATTACATTGCTGTTATCAGACCAGAAACTTAATCAGAGCATGCTACAGTGGAGCGCGCTGATCGGACCGCTTTCACCCAATCAGCGCTAAGGGATGAGGTGAGAGAATTCTCAAATATTCCTGTGTAAAGTTTGTAAATACATCGACATTCTATTACCTTGTTTTGTTCGGAATGTAATTTACGTCCCTGTCCAAGTCTTGTTTTAGTTTGACAACTGGTCGAGTGAACGGAAGTGTCCAAGAATACTAGGCTGAATAAGGAGACTTAGCAATGACAATAACATTTATTTGATTAAATCAAAAACTTGGTATATTATCTAGTAAATGTGATAACTATTACATAAATTTAATAGGACATTTATTTTTCAGAAATTATTTTGTTTGACTTGGAGACTTATATCCTCTCATATAAATATAGGTTTCCCTTTAGCCATTAGCTCGGGTTTGTTCTCATTTGAAAACCCGACAATCAGGAATAACTGCAACAACGATTTTAAATGGAGCGATAACATGTTTGTGAATAATTTAATTAATTAAATATTTCGACAAAAGATATTATCGTCTATCTTAAGCATTTGTATGATACGTATTAGTTTCATTTCTGATTAAAAATAATTCATATAAAACTAAGTGTGTAGTGAACAGAACACGGGTGGGGACAATCGAATTGTATTTAGCACACAATTACAGAGTTACTTGGTAAAATAGAAAAACCATACAGTAAATCGTTAATTTGCAAAATATTAATCCATCATATGAACCTGGACTCTTTCTGTTACAAACACCAATCCATTGTCTCACATTTCATTGTTCATGCGTTCTCTTACAAATTGCATTGTGTTCTCGCTCTTCCTTTCTTGATCTTCCCCCATCTTCTGCTACCATACATTAAGTTTTTAACTCGCGTCATATACTACTTACATCAATATAAGTAGAACGCACCACAAGTGGAATGGGAAGTGTATTGAAGAAACTGGCTTTGATATCTCAATACCTGTTTTAAAGCTAATAGTAATTATTAGAAATTTCATCTAATCCACCTTTAATCATTAATATGCTTTTAGTAAATCTTCACTTTCTTGAATCCTTATGGAATAACAATCTATTATTTTCTATTGCATTCATATCGGTTTACCTTAACCAATTTACCATTATTTTAGTGCGTCATATTATTTTTTTGTTTTTCGAAATTTCCACACCAAATATTCACATGACAATCTTTGGAGTAAGGTTTGTTGAAGCAGTATAAGTTATTTTGGTAGAGATCTAATTTTTTCTCTCTACGTCGAAGTGTGAAAGTTTTGGGGACGATAGATCCCCAAACTCATATTTTAAATTTTATCGCATCGATCAACTTATTGATTAAATGTTTAAATATTTGTATTGGGGTCAATTGATGAACTGATCGATTAAATGTTTGAATAGCAGTCAATTGATGAACTATCGATTAAATGCGCAAATAGGTCAATTAATGAACTCATTGATTAATGTTTAAAAATTTTCTATGACAATATCGATTGTAAATAATTGTATAAATACGCTTGACTTGTATGCTTGATCTGATCTGCCTGCCTGACTTGGTATCTGCTGTTGCTTGTAGAATACACTTTCTACGCCTTACCAAGACTTCTTGATCGAGTTAGCTGAGTCGAAGACAACGGACCAGAATAGTCTATTGAGTCTCTGAATCCTGAGCCTTCGTTCCGTTCCGAATAAGTCGAATCAGTAGTATCCTCAAGGTTAACGAACCTAACAGAAAGTCATAATTTTCAGTACAAACATCAATGTAGTTCTGTTGTACGGAGCTGAAACGTGGAGAACTACTACAACCATCATCAAAAGAGTACAACCATCTATAAACAGTTGTCTTCGCCAGATACCTACTGCTGCAGAGAACAAACCAGGAAGTTAAGAAGACTCTGGATGAATAGGATACACATTGTGAGAATTATCAAACTGGGTCACAAGGTAAACCTTCAGTCAGTCAGCTACAACGTAGGACCAGGCATATATATGCATCGGTCCAAGTTGCCATACTGTTATGACTTGTGACTGCAGATTAGATGCGCAGTGTATTATCGATCGGATCAATGACACGTAAACACGTAAGAACGACCTAGAGTCCTGATTGGCCCTGCTTCCCTGTCTAGCCCAGCCAGTTGAGTCCGAAACGCAAGAGATATGAATCGTTATATTTCAAACATATTCTGTTTATATACCAATAAAGCAGACCACATCGTACCATAAAATAGAAACAACATTTGTACAATATTTGACAAGTGAAATAAACATTGACCAATAGGAAATGTCCATTTAAAGTCCAAGGACACCATTAGACTTAACAGGATAATTATTGGTATATTTTTCTGAATATCCCAACACATACCTCACTAGCACAACAAGATGAACACCGGATTCATAGCAGTGGTTAGGTCAAATGTGGTAATATATAAGAGAAAGATTGTATATAAGGATATAGTATAGGAAGAAAGAATTATTTCGTAGAAAGAAAGATATGAAGTGATTTTAATCTCTTAGTTTAAGGGAAGACAGAGAGTGTATACACCGACGCCATTGTGACCGATTCTGAGCCATGTTACCAAGAGTCTTCAACCATTGGTTACAACAGTCACGCGGACCCCAACCAAGTAGTCTGCATCTACCAACATGGCTTAGACTAGGAGTTAATGTCTTCAAGCACTGATGCCACGTTTCGGTTTGGCCGCCCCTAACTTTCTTCCAGCCATCCCCAACACCGGTTAGCATTGCACGTCGTGGTAATCGGTGTTCAGGCATACATAGACCAGAGAACACATTGTGCTGGGAATAGAAGGCGGATTTTGAAAGAATGAATAACACTTAACAATAACTGGGAAGCAGAACCCAGGAGAGTTGATTCGAGATTGCCGGTCAATAGTCTATGCTCAACGAGGGATAACAAACGTAATAAGTATGCAATATCGAGCTGTTAGGTGTAGTTAATTAAACTTACTCCCACAGTCCATACAGAATAGTTCACGAACATTTGCATCATGTCATCTGGAAAATGAATTTAACAGAAACCAATTATGGACATCTTCAACTCGTAGAAGACTAAACCGAAACGTTTTGGGTTTTCGACGTAATGGAAAATATGAATAGAGTTCAACAGTTCCCACTGAAAAATGGCGACACACAGTAAACTGTTTAAATGAAAGTATGGGTTGAATCTTAGGTATTTAATAATCCCAACGTCATATAATCTGTCAGGTGAATACATGGAGACAACTGATTATCATTTTCCAATGCTGAAGGCTCATTATCAATATTTATCGATCAAGTGGTACTACTAAATGTTTGGAGTTATTTTGTGAGAAAAAATTCAAAACTAAATCTCGAAGCTTGTGGAGTGGTTTTTCGTTGAATAAGAAGTTAAATTTTATTAAGTTTTCAGTTAAGTAAAGTTATTTTACTAAACAGAAATAAAAAAGTAGTAATCTTACCATATTCGCAAGAATATCACCAACTTTTGACTGACCAGCAGCAACATAAAAAACCAAAAGCGTATCACCTGTTCTGGTCGGCATATGGTCTAGATTTGTTAATATATCGGCAAAATCTGGATTTTCCACATCGAATGGAAATAAGGGCAATAGTTCGTCTTCAGTACTATTCGACGGCAAAGTAGACGAATTCATTCATAAACTCAAATCTTAACAATTTGTTACTAATATCTAATTCCCATATCCACTACCTATAATAAAGTATATCCCTAAATCACATTTATTTTTCTAATACATTGGATATATAATTTCGATTTATAATATAATGTTATATTACTAAATTAAATTTATTACAAACCCTTTCATATCAATCACTAAATCCCAAAATAACAAAACCCACATAAATCCTACATACATCAATACATAATACCAAACAATAATTTTCCCAAATCAACAACAAACCCTATATACAACATCCCCAACCCACACAAACACAAATACCACCCCCCCCCAAACAATCCCAAATAACACCAAACCTCCCTAACCCTAAAACAACCCCCTATCACCAACATCAAATCACAAAACCCCCCATTCCAATTTACCCTTAACACACCCCACCATTCAAAATATTAAAACCTCTACCTCAATCAAAATCATAAATCTCACCTCTCACCTCCCCCAACTTACAACAACAATCCCCTAAAAACACCAACCTCACGCCCCTTTTTTTTTTTTTTTTTTTTTTTTCCAACCTTAATTAACCTAAACACCTAACAAACACACCCACTCTCTTCCCCCCCCCTCCCCCACACACCAATCCCCCCCACACAAACATCAATCTTAAACAACACTCTTTCAACAAAATACTAACTAAACACACCATCCATCACAATAAATCAATAGTGATGTTGTGTGTGTACCAACACTTCTTGTAATGATCATTCAGATCAAGAGTGATGAATGTCTCTCTCTTATAGATAGTATCTCTCTACTGCCAACCTCATCTACACGCTCGACCAACGATGGTGTTCTCACCACTAGCTTCATACCCCACCCAAAAAAGATACACAAACTCAACACGTGGTGTGTGTGTTTCACTCTCGAGTACATGCTTTTTTGCGTGACTTCTGCGCAACGCTGTATAATCCGACAGGGTTTCTTCAAGCCTTCTTCCCCCCCCCCCCCCCCCCCCCCCCCCCCCCCCCACCCCACCCCCCCTCCCCCCCCCCCCCATCCCCCCCCCCCCCCCACCCCCCCCACCACACCCCCACGGCTACAGAAACTCATTGAAGCCCGTCGGTCTACACCGGGTGACCGTGAGTTTGACCACAAACGAAGGATGTTACGTAAGGAAATTGGGCAAAACTTGCGTAAGGACCGAGAAGCCTGATGGTCGGAGCGTACTAATGAGCTGGAAGCAGCAGTTGCACCTGGTAACTACCGGAAGCTCTTCCAACTCATCCGAGCCACTGGCAGCAAGGAGGCTGATGTCCGCGAAACAACCTAAGAGAATAACGGGATACCAAACACCAACACCCATCGACGTCTTGGACGATGGGTGGAATTCTTCGAAGGGCAGTTCAACTGGCCTGCTGCTCCGGCAACATCGGTCAGACTGTCCTGCCCTCCATGGTCGGTGACGACTGATCCACCAAATGAGTCGGAAGCCACAAGGAACTCCAACTCTTGAAACGCTACAAATCACCGGGCCCAGATGACTTACCTTCGGCTCTTTTTAAAGATGGTGGTGACCTTCTGACTAAGGAACTGACTGTGTTGTTTACTGAGGTCTGGGAGCTAGAGTGTGTACCAACGTCATGGAATGAGTCGATAGTTGTCCCTATCTTTAAAAAGGGTTCACGTCGTTCCTGTAACAACTATCGGGGGATAAGTCTACTTCTGATTGCGTCAAAGCTATTGGCTTCCGTCATTCTTCGTAGGTTGTTCAAAACCCGAGAAAGATTGACTCGCGAGGAGCAGGCTGGGTTTCGTTCTGGTCGAGGATGTATTGATCATATCTTCACCCTCAGCCAAATGTTAGAACACCGCCATACTTATCAAAGGCCAACAATCGTAGTGTTTCTTGACATCAGGGCTGCCTTCGATTCGTTAGACAGGACTGTCCTCTGGGATTTTCTATTGAAGAAGGGTGTGCCTGAGAAGTTTATTAACATACTAAAAGCCCTATATATAAACACCTTAGACAGAGTGAGGGCATACAACCACCTCTCTCCATTGTTCCATTCGAGCAGTGGGGTTAGGCAGGGTTGCCCAATCTCACCATTCCTCTTCAACTTTGCCATCGATGACATTCTGGAAACAGCTCTGATGGATGTAAGTAATGGTGGTGTGGATCTGTTGCCTGGAGAAAGACTTCTCGACCTTGTGTATGCGGATGATATTGTCTTACTGTGCGATAATGCCCCAGGCATGCAATCCGCACTTAATCAGTTGGCAATCAATGTCCGTAGGTATGGTATGTGCTTTGCACCTTCGAAGTGCAAAGTACTTCTATAGGACTGGCAGGATTTCAATCCTGTACTCACTCTGGATGGTGAGCAGATAGACGTAGTCGAGAAGTTCGTGTATCTGGGTAGCTGCATAAGTGCTGGTGGGGGTGTGAGTGATGAGATCAATGCACGTATAATGAAAGCCAGAGCGGCTTATGCCAATCTGGGCCATCTTTGGCGCCTTCATGATGTTAGTCTGGCTGTAAAAGGTCGGATCTACAACGCGTCGGTGAGAGCAGTTTTGCTCTATGCTTGTGAAACCTGGCCTTTCCGAGTTGAGGACGTTAGGCGACCCTCTGTGTTCGATCATCGGTGTCTCCGAAGGATTGCTGACATTCAGTGGCAACACCATGTTAGTAATGCAGAGGTTCGGGATCGTGTGTTCGGGCACAGAGACGATCATGCAACTGGTGTCACCATCTTGAAACACCGACTTCGGTGGCTTGGACATGTTCTACGAATGTCGTCCCAGAGAATTCCACGTTGTGCATTACTTGCCGACTCTGGGACTGGTTGGAAAAAGCGGAGAGGTAGTCAGTGTATGAAGTAGTGTCGTGCCATGAAAGAAAGCTGCAGAGGGCTGGCTTCTGTTGGTCCTTCACGACTCCCTGGCTGGGGTCTGAGAGATGGTGCGACACAGTGGCTAGAGATGTTATCAGATAAGGCTCAGAATAGAAGCCAGTGGCGATCCTGCTGTAACCTTCTTTTACTTTCTTCATAAAAATTGGTTGTATCTTCCTTAACTGAAAGATTTCTTCCGATTGTATTTTTCCGTTTCCCCCATTATTACTATTATTATTTTTATTATTATCATTACACTACCTTACACTTACCTGTTAGTTATTGTGTTTTTTTTCTCTTCGAATTCTCATTGTTTTTTGTGGCGCATATATATTTGGTGCCCTTTTGTACCAATATTTATGTGTTCAAACAAAACAAACAAAAAATTGATTTGAAGAGACAATCAGAGAAACAGAGTGGCGCGCAGTGGAGATGGCGAGTGAGCCGACTCGTTTTGATCAAGCTTAACTCAATATTTATATTCAGACCAAAAATAAGTTGGAAACACGTGATAAATAGAGTGAGCAATTAACACACATGCGATCATATCAAAACAGAAATAATAAGTAATAAGGTCAAAATGTGGCTTGAGAAGAATGAATAAATTGGTCTGTCGTCCAGATGCTAGAATAACCTGTGTGAGCTTGACACAGTACCAGCCACTAAAATATCACGAATATACCATTATTTTATTATTAAAACTTAAAATGTTCATTCAGTAGATAAAATGCCTTTCTCTTTTAAAAAAGTAGCAACTTTTGAATCCATATCTACAAGACAGACTTTACCTTCAGGAAGAAAATGTTGTAAAGACTACTCATTACTCGGTAGATTACCTGCTCTCTTAAAAGTAATTAGTACGGCAATATCATTTTTCTAGTGTTAAAAAGCGAAATCAGAATATAAACTACGTAGTACACAGTCATAATACGTCTTCTTCTAAAACTATCTTCCAGTCTAAATACAAGTTTTATTCTGATGGATGTACACTGAAGTTCACTACAAACATTTTACTGACACACTACCTATTTAACTATATGAATGAACATCTCGCTGAAATACTTACTATAGAATAACACCATTGAGGAATACTGTTTACCGCACGGTTATTTTTGTATTTTTCTTTAATATAAATTTTTTTATCCCGTTTTGTCCAACAAAATGATCAGCTTTAAAATAATAAATATTAATAACTGATTCCTGAAAAGTAATACAAAACGTAAATATCCCTTGGCTGACCACCTTTTCTTCGAACTGTGAACGTAAATAAATTACAAAGTACTAGCTGTATTGTTTCCAACGTTGTCATGGACACTGATAATGTGTTCTTGAGTACGCTGTCTCTGGTAGCGTTCCAATCTCAACAATGTTCCTGAACATATGAGCACGAATTTTCAAAAACAAGTTAACCGGTCACTTAATTTTAAATGTTTTTAATCACACCCAGGAAATTCCCATCACTAGGGATCAGGAATCACAATAACCGTGCAAAAAATGTCAGCCACTGTTGAGAGTACAAATGTATAGAAAAACATTGATAAATTGAGCTCATTTCATGTTACTCAATTCATCAAAATAAGATTAAAGCAAGACACAAAAAATCAAACTTACATTGGTGCTTGTGCTTCTGTGATTGGGTCAGGATAAGGTGCATTAATTTTTTCTTGGACACAACGTAATCCAACTTCCTTTGCTAATGAAGCATGTGTGGTTATTAATTTCTTGAATACATTAATTTCTTGTCTAACATTACTTCCAAGTTCACTACCAACTTCATCCAGCGAAGGTATTATATGATCACTAATTTTGATATGATAAAGAATTGGGTATATATATAATGCACAAAAATACAGTACTAAGCAGATTTAGGGCACAAATGAGAAACTGAATTACAGCTCAATGTGTATCATTAAAAATATAAAGTACAACTACAGAAAAGTGGTGGATCTTTATCAATTACTGATCAGCGCCAAAAAACTAGAAAACATGACATTAACAACTGCTTAGAGACCAATAAATTGGAAACGTCTCAACCCAATGGAAAGTCATTTGCAGCAAGAATAGCTCAGTGACAACGTTTCAAACTGTGAGTGTGAATGAAGTGAATTCAAACCCACCAGAAGGGATCAGTTTCTTCAAGAATGGGGAGTATATCTAGCTTCGAAATGCGAACCTAAGTAATGACAAATAATCAAGAAACATATTGCTTACGCTTCAACAAGTGGAATATCGGATATCGATTGTGGAAAATTTAAAGCAGGAACATTTTCATTGTTGGTTACTGTGGTGATAAGTCTGTCAAGAAAACAACCCCAAGGTTTAGGACGATTAATTACTATTTCTTGTTTTTGATCCGAATAATTTGACTGAGAATTTGAGTCGTTTCCCAACAATGGTGAAAGACGCATATGCGTTATCCAAACATGACGTCCAAATGGTCCTCGAATAATTAAAATTGCAGCTGGTCCATCTTTTGAACAATCAATTTTTGGTTTTATGGTTGATTTAAACGAGTTCGTAGGGAATTCGCACAATCCAATTATTAAATTAGGTTCGGACCAGAAATAGTGAAATTCTGACCGACCCTTAGATGAATTCGACTCTTCATCTATAATCAATTTCAAAATGTTATCTTCTGCTAATTGAGAGCATGTTGTATCGGTCCCGAATGGTCCAGGAAAAGATCCAGCTACTGACATTAAATTTGACAGACAAGCCTCAGCTGCATCACAAACACGTTTTGAGGATGGAACTAAAGGTTTTTGACCTTTGAGAATAGTAGTAGGGGGCTCATTTTTTGCCTGTTTATTCTGATTTAGATGAAAAATAGAGAACGTAGTTTAATATAAGGTACTTAGAAACAGCAGTTTGCAGAGAAAAAAAATACTATGTAGTACTAACATTTATCGTAACATCTACGGCTCAATAATCAATGAATAATGGATCAAAATTAAGACATTTCGCTACTTGATATTTTTTATTCGATAAGATTTAACTAACTTATATTCATACATAAACACTTTTCCCGCAAACACAAACTAAAATATTATTAGAATGCTATCAGCTGTCACATGTAAGTAAATTCGAGAAAAAATTTCATCATGTGATGGTAACATATGAAGGGAATTCTTTCAAAAGATTATTGTTCACTGTATTATGCATAAATAGTAGTTATTTGGATTATCAATCATTAAGTAAATATTTAAACTTAGATTAATTTTAATTTGGTTATTTATTCTCTGAAGAAGTGACTTACATTAAGCCACGAAACGTCAGAAAATCTAATTTTTCTACTCATTGGGATATTACAAATATACTATTTATTTATAACAATCTACCCAATTTATTCGAAATTATCAAATCAAACCTTGATAATGATACCTATTAAGTAGATATTGTTTAATAATAAGTTTATTCATTGAAAGTCTAATATAGAAAAAAAAGATTTAGCTTATCTACAGTTCAGAGGTGATTTTCATCGGAAAATGATATCAATTGAGGAATTACTAGATAGCATCAAATGTTTGGTTTGACCTAATTCCGGTTCTTCAGCAGTAATTATTACTATGATATTGATTTAAGGTACACAATCAACTCATATTTCAAATATAATCCATAAATAGTTGAATAGGTCTAAAGAAAACCAAATAAATCATTTTACCATCGATATTTAGTTTATGAATATACTATGGTTTCGTTAGTGTTTTGTTTACTACACTAAGATGGTTCACAGACACTCAGTATATTATAAAACTGATATATTATAAAACTAATATTTTAATCACTGAACTATTCCTCTCTACTAAGACAAAAATGTTAAGAGTATTGTTATATCTAATTATTTAGCTCTGAACGGGTCATTATTATAAGATTAGCATCAAAGATTCGACAAAAATTAAAATACAACATGTAACAACCAATAACATACTGAAGACTTAGCACCACAAATACCCAATTCAATTGTTTCTAATATAGTCCATACACATTCTCGATCAGATAATAATAAATTCACATGTTGTACAATCCATGAAGATAAACAATAATACGCAGCAACAATAATACTATGTAGCTGCCTTTTATGGTCTTTTTTTTCACGGTTACATTGATTTGTAATAAATTCACATATTGATCGGACGGTATGTCTATCTAAAAAGAAATATGAGAGGTGAAAGAAAACGACAAAAGATCTAAAACATAACTGTCTTTTACTTCAATCAAAAATGGAGTTACTCAATAACCAACTAATAGGTTTACAAGTGTTTCATAGTAAGAAAAAGAAACTAGTAAAAAACTAAACTGTATATTCACTCATGCTGGAATTGATTGATATGTCGTGACATAAACGATAAGAATTGTTCCAGAGTTGCATCCATCAAGTCTGGTATCACTACAGTAAAAGACACTTATCCAATTATATGAGTGTTGACAGTTTTGTTTATTCTAAAATAGTATTTTTACACCGATATAATTCTAGTTAAATTTGTCTTTTTCATTCAATATTGAAGACTTACGGCAACAAGAAAAGGAAAGAAGTTGAAATAGGTTTTATTAAAACACAATTACACTTTCAAAAATAGTTTTTACAAATCCATATCGTTTATTGATCTCATGTATTATGTAGTCAGCTAGGGTTTATTTCTCCCACTACACATTCATAATACTGGACACTACCCGTACAACTTATCACCCTGTGAATTAAAAGGTTTGATGATAGTGTCTACCATTTTTTCGTAGTATACACTAACTACGAATTTAATTCGAATTGTACGGTTAATTCAAGAAACGACATCTTTTAAATAAAATCTCCTTAGTTTTATTACACTTCCCTAGGGGAGTGGCTATAGGTGAGGATTACCGAAGTGTACGAAAGTGAGACAAAAAAACAACGATTCGGTGCTCCATCGTTCTCGGTTATTGTTCAGTTGATATCAGTTTGCCATACAAAATAACTTTACACAAAACAACATTTTAAATTAATTCAAATGACTTTGATCTGAAATATGAAGATACCAATTTTTTAATTGACGGATAATAAAAAAATCTTATCAAATGAAACAAGTTGAATATTAAAGTACTTACAAGTAGATGGATCAACTGGTGTAACATGTACACTAGATAAACCAGAGATGATTTCTAGTAAATAAAGCATAACTGATGAATCATTTTTCCACTTATATACTAAATTACCACAAAGCAGTGGTGTCAGAATATTGAAGAAACTAGATGTTGTGTCTAAAAGGCAAGAAGAAAGTTTGCAACTGATGAGTATATATATATATATATATATATAACACTAGTGTATAAATATTACGAAGCACCTAAATATATTTGAGGAAATCAATACACGTGAATAGAATAAGCCAAACCAAACGAAAGTATGTTCTGTGGGGCTTTAACAACAAATCACATTAGTTAATCCAACGAATTAAATGACGAAACAAACAAACAAACTTGCTGTCGCATCACCTACGTGAAATATGTTGAACATGCACTAACTAGATCATGTATCGTTAATACTAAACAACCACCCTCCACTACACCAGAAGTGAGCTAAGTGGGAAACTGTGGTGTTTGAATGAACTGATGATTCCTTTATACTTGTTGAATGCTTGATTTCGAATTCCAAATACAGTACATTCGTTAGTGCTTATCTAGTACTTCTTGATCTGATTACGTTATTTCTGGGATTCCTAGTTCATACGATAATTCAAATAATTCGAAACATTTTATTGACGTCGCGATGCAGCCTGCGATGGAAAAGTTAGATATTCATTCAACTTCTGAAGCCTTTGAGGATTACTTTGAAAGGTTAGAAATTTGGGCTATGATCAAGGAAGATATTGAGGATGTTAACATTGTAGCACATTTCCTCACATTCGTCGAAAAAGAAGCATACAGCTTATCTTTATCAACGATTTCAAAAGACAGGGTAGAGTCAAACAGCAGTTCAGAGTTAAATGAAACTCAGAATTCTTGCAAAATAACAGTTTCTAATCAATCGACTTATCATATTTCTCATGTTATTGTACCAGATATGGTTTTTCTTAATGATTCACTTATTTCAGACGAAATTCCTTGCAAATCTGAGGAAAATATGTTGAATAAACCTAGTCATGATAAAAAAACCTGATGTAGTTTTGATAGATGCTGATTTTTCTAATGATCCTTTACTCTGCAATGACATTCTTAATAAATTTGAGGAAACTATTTCAGAAGAATCAAATCCTGATGTCATACTCAATATTATTTGTCCTCATGATGCATTTGTTTCTTGTGGGAAACTTGTTCAATGTGAAGCACAAGTACTAAATGAGCTCGATTTTGATTACAATTCGGATGATTTCATATCAACTGCTGTTTATCCTTATCACAAAAACACTTCTAATGTTTACTCTAACCAATGTGAGAAATATAATTTAAATGAAGCCACATCATTCATAAATTGGGGATATAAAGATCCAACATTATTTCGTGGGGGAGGATATTCTAAAAGTCTATGGTTCAAATTCTAGGTAGCAGCGGTTTCAGTGCACAACCGGCATGGTGATTACACAATCCCATGAAGCAGGTGAGTCTGTTCCGATTTCGGTTGTTAATTCTAATACTAATGAGTGCATTCTAGATAACAGAGTTTTTATCGAATACAACGTCGGACATACACAGGATGAACTTGAAAAGACGTACAATTGATTACAGACACCTAGACTCCAATTTAAGCTGTGGCGGATGTGGTGTTTGAATGAACTGATGATTCATTTGTACTTGTTGAATGCTTGATTTCGAATTCCAGATACAGTACATTCGTTAGTGCTTATCTAGTACTTCTTGATCCGATCATGTTATTTCTGGGATTCCTAGTTCATACTATAATTCAAATACTCCTAACTATCATAGAAACACTGCCATAGTCTAATAGATAACACACTATCATATTAATCTATGAAGTCATTAACTGTTAGACTTGTGTCGCACAAGGGAGTGTTGACTTGTTGAAATACTTACGTGAAGAGACTAGACAAAAGGATTGCAATTAATCACTAATGGTGAAGATGCATTTACTATCTAACGTACCTACAAATTTTGATCATTTATCCTAGAAAATTCTTTCACAGTCCAACAGTGTTATTTCTGTTTACAATAATAAATTTCCTTTTTTGATATTGAGAAGTGGGAGAATTGAAACCAAAATGTATTTTATTGTATGCACACAATGTTGCATTCACTTATCTTACTGAAATTACATGAACGTAATAAATCAATTTAAAAATTGTTATCATAAACGACAGTATCACTGATGACATTCTGTGTGATCTGATAAATCTTCAATCATTTAATTGAAATATGAACGAAGTTCTCCGTCGGACACGAACGAGTTAGACTTTCGAGGTGTTGCACCTCCGAAAAGACTGTCAAAATAACATTAATTCAAAATCAGGGAGCGAAATTTCCTGGACAGAATGCACAATTACGCGCTGGTGATATATATTATTAAAACAGTCTGCAGATAACTGACACAATTTCATCAACAACATGACCCAACCACAAACACGAAGAGTAATTAAACAAGAATATCTGTTTAAAAACTTAGAAAAAAAGTAACATAAGTTTAAAAATCCTTACGAGATTTGCCAGGGTCGGTTCGAATATTAGATGACTGCATCTCATCAGCTGACATGTCTTCAATTAAAGCCAACGCCACACCTAATCGATAGTTAAAAATGAAAATTATTGCGATTTATGATTTGGTTTTGATACATATATATAATGGAAATATAGAAACCACAGTGAGTGTTGGCAACAGCGTTCATAAAACTTAAAAATAAGTGAAACTGAATGATAATTTAAGTACTGATAGAAGGGAGACATTTAAAAACAATACAGGCGTTTTTCAAGAGTCCAGTTATTACGGCGTTTAGTTGCTCTATTTTACGTTCTTTATGTAGTTTGAACATATATTATGAATTAGATATTTTGTCTAACTATTTATATGGATTTTGTATTCCATTTCATGATTCTAATAAATAACAATGCAATGTAACTAAATCGATTTAATCAAGTTATAGAGATATGAACAACTGATGAAAGTAGCCGAACAAACAATTGGTAATATGAAATAATAAAATATATTTTCACAGATTGAACTCATGAGTCAGTTAAAGCTAGACCACCATTGAAAACCTGGAAGCACTGGACGGCCGTTTCGTCCTAGTATGGGACTCCCCAGCAGTGCGCAACCACGACCCCGCACCACCCGGGGCTCGAACCCAGGACCTACTGGCTTCGCGCGCGAGCACTTAACCATTAGACCACTGAGCCGGCATCCAACGGTGTTAATGTCTAACTTCAACCAATCCACGAAGTTGCGCTACCGTACACCATTGTCTTCAGTGAGTTCCTATCTCACAACAGACCTGGTTGAACTCCACTGGTAACGACTTCTCACTAGAATTCCAGAAGTGTCTCCTGAAGTCAGTCACTAGTGAGCAGGTGATTGTTATTATCAGAATGTGTTTTGTGGAGATTTTTAGATATTTTCACAGATTGAACTCATGAGTCCATACTTAACGATATCGGGTAATAAGCTCTTGGTAAAAGCAAGATATTTATATATGGAAGAAATTCCTTAATAAACCCGATGTGCGAACAAGACCATCTACAGATATCTCCAAAAATTACCGAGATGCATGAATGTTCTTATATTAGACAGTAAACAATGATCAAATCAATCAATCATAGCCAATGTATGACCACTTGGCATGAATGTGCATCAGTTCAAGTGGCTATACACCAAAATCAGTACAAAGAGAGAAAGACTGACAAGATGAGAAGTATGGTAACCTGCTAAGAAATTTGGGACATTCACTTCTCAATCATCCCAATGTTTTAAAAAGTATTCTTGTTTTAAATTTCTTTTCACTGCAAATAATTATGAAAATCAACTGCATACATTCACGCGCTTTTATAGGAAGCTTACAACTTTAATTCTGTGCTCAATATTGGAAAACTCAGATGGAAACAGCTCACTCCATGGCATATTTCCTTTTTACCCTAACCTTTGAAGAAACGAAAGGCAATTACATTGGAATTCATACGATGAATCAAGAAAATATTAATAACTTGGTTGATAGGATTCGATCTGCACTAAGAAGGACCTGACACACAAGACACTAATCACCACCCAAATGGTCAATCAGTTGTAAATGCATCTCAGTCCTATGGGAGGTCGGTCGCGGCCCGAATAGCCAGTGGTAACGTCTCTGACTGTGAAGCTGGGTGACACAGGATCGAATCAGTTCACCCGAGATTATAGGTACACCTCACTGACGAGTGCCAAGTAGCACGAAACACAGGTCCAGGTTTTCCTTTGACTACCTCCAACCAGCATCTGAAATATTGACCTGGTGGTTGAGTGGCAAATACTGACTGTTGAAAAAATATTTGTGAAATACAGTTTGTAAGCAGGTCTAAGAGAAACTTGTTGTAACAGTGCATAATTGGTACTGAGTATCCCCTACTGTTAAACTTTATAATATTGTATAAGGAACTTAATTGTCGGTATAGGGGTTTATGGAGCATGTTGAATGTCATAATTTACATCACGGTTAACCTTACTAAGATAACCTTTCATAATCAAGAACTGTTGGATAGCTGTTTGGACCTAGTATGTGGATTATCAGCAGAAATCACCCACGATCCTATTGGAAATCTAACCCTGAACTTTCAGTAGCTTAAAACCTAAGAGCTCCTCACGGAACCGAAAGTTCCTAGCTCCAATCACCGATAGGATAGTGAATGAGCACTGCTACTGAGTCATACACTAAGACGAAACAATTGTCCAATGCCTCCTGATTTTGAACAATTACTTAAAATCAGTTCTATAATGTAAACTATATTATTATTATCATCTCCAATAGAGAACTAAATATAAGACATACATTAAAGAGAAGCATTAATGACGACAATGGAATCTTATTTGAAATAACAAAAAGATAATACTCACTTAATAACAATTGAAAATTTACCGGATCTTCTGTACTACTCAACGTATCACATAAAATATTAACCATCATATTTTTTATATCATTCAATGAACATGGATTATCCTCATTAGACATCAAAGGAATCAAAGCTTAAAGAAACAGCAATTAATAACAATAAGAAAGATGAATAAAGATATTAATAAAAAAATGGTATGATAATTAAACTTCTTGAAAAATAAGTTACAAAACAAGTATTATGATTAAGGGGTTGTAAAGAAACCATATGATGAAAATATATTCAATGATGTAACAAAATGTATTTTAACAATTTCATACACAAATTTCTTCAATGTCCAATATTTACATGAGGATCTCTTATTAAAAGTTTATACACAACATGAAATGCGTGTTAATTTTGTTTTAGTTTTATGTAGTACAAAACAATCACCGGATAATAGATGAATATCATTATTTAGTATAGGTGGGTTTTTGTTTTGTTTTGAAGTAATCATAATATGGTGAGAAAAAAATGAAGAAGAATATTTTAAATGAACATTATGAATTTCTGTATTAAATGCTTCTATGGAATGATTTAAGTATTAAAAAGTGAAATATTTCTGATAAAAGATGATTAATGATTAGGCAATAAAACTAAATCAATTCCAATATATTTGGTATGTGGTTAATAGTGGAATCCAGGATACGCTTATCAATTCATCGGCTTGATGTACTTGTATCGTTTACGCTAAAACTTAAACCTAGAAAACTTTTAGTTCAAATGGCCAATACGACATCCACTGAGCTACTGGGTTCAGATAGTTACTAACTTGTTTAATGAATATAAAGGTTATTAGTGAGAGTTTGTGACTTCCTGTTATTGATGTAAAAGACTTTAATTGATCAGTTTCTGTTGGCGTATGTGAACCTGGTGCTGGCCACAAACGAAATATACGTGTGACACAACACAATATCAAAGCAATCCGCTCAAGATGCACATACAGCGACAGAGACTGAACAACTTCAGTTCTCAATATCAATAACGGAAAATTTCAAAATCCTTATTAATACTGAATAAAAAGCCAAATAAAATTATATACGGATGAGGTTACTCATGTAATTAATTAGAAATATGAGTTTTATGATTTAGTATAACTTCTTATAACTCATCAAATTACAGCGTGAGTTATTCAAAAACTTTGTATTTATAGGTAAATATCTCAGTGAAAAAAGCGAACACTAAAGTGATGACATATTAGTTAAATCACCAGATACTCGATAACAATAAATAGTAAGGTTTAGACGACATATCATCTATTCTGTTTTGGATAGCTAGATAGTATTCTTTATCCCATGTATAAAATGTATAGCTCAAAGCTGAGTTTGTTACAAATGAAAACATACTCGATAACTTATAAATCACTGTAAACAAATGTGGTAAGATACAGAAAAAATGTATCTGATTTTAGAACTAGTCAATTAATTGTGAGTGGACGTATTTACTAGACAGGACAATATTCTTTTGAACAGATTCTTCGAAAATCAAGTAGTTATGGGTAATGTTGAAATAACTTAGTAAAGTTCAGATAATATTTTATTAGCTCAACTATATTTTCAAGTCATGATAATAAAAGGTTTACTAAATGTTCAATAATAAACCCGGCTACTGAGTGCTTCTTTTACCTACTTGATTCCCATTAAAAGTAGCAACAATAATCTGGATTTTGACGATTCCTATTAGTTTTTAGTTTAAATTACGCATAGGTTTATAAATTCTGGTTAGAATACAAAACAATATTCGGAGGGAAAGATTGACTATATGAATGTAATTCACAACACTATTAGGGGTGAAGCAGGAAATATATGATTTATAGTCATTTGAAAGCCAAGTCGAATAAACACAAAGGTGATATCTTTTATTTTAAAATATCAATGTGATTATATCTATCAATATGAAAGTATGAATCAATAAATTGGAACACTACATTGAAATAATCTAGGGACAATAATACTATTTCCCCTTCTGGACAGTGTGGCTAAAATTACATTGAATAGTACACCACAAAAAGTCGTAATCATTAGTTTGACAGAACCCTACTAACATTTGTAGTGTGCATGATTCAAGAAATAAGTGTTGCAACAAGTACGGTGAATGCTCGACAATACAAGTAAATAGTCAAACAACAACTATCATATATATATTCAACAAACCACTGGATGCTTAACTAAATTTACCCGTATAAACTATAAATAATGCAAAGTAATAACATAACTTAGTTGTCCCAATAAAAATAAAATGTACCAAATCGAGAATACGTGATCTAATGAAATTGTTGATTATCAACACTCAGAATTTATATCAAAGCTTAGAAAATCAGTACACTTCCAAGTCAACTGTTGTTTTTGGGAAACACGATCAATATCGTGAATGCTCGTACACTTATACGATAAATAACACAACACACTGAATAAGTGATTTCAGCATAACAACAAAAATAACTTCCGTAAGGATGTGCTTCACAACTGATTGATCAGACTAAATATACTATTGTAAGATCAAGGTGATTAAAATGTTATTTATACCTCGACAAAAAGATATCAAGTTTATTATAATTTGAAATTATAATGGTCCCACTATCTACTTACGTTTTAAATGTGCGCCTTTAAATTGAATAGGAATACATACCATTGACATAAGCTGATGTATAGCTGCACGTTGAACCAGAGTCGGTGATAAAAATTCAGGTTTCCTAGAACAAAAAAGGTAGTATTTACATGAGAACACATTATGACTAATGGTGAAATTGAAAATAAAAGTTAATGCAGTAAAATTATCAGTAATTTGTCAGATTCAATGAATAAACGATACTTATATAATGGTGATCAAATAAATTACAGAGCCTTAACTTGTCAGGACTAACGCTATGAAGTTAAAGCAAAATTTCTACTTTTTCGTTTTTCAAACTATTGAAAAAACAGAAGAAAACGCTAAATTGTTCTACAAAAATACTCTTACAATAAAAGACTGATGATAAAATGAGTGCTATGAAACAGGAATAATGACATGTAAGTAATGCTTTATTTGTTTAAGTGAATCCTGTCGATTAACAAATGAAATGTAGCTAACAAAACCCGTATAATATAATCTTCTTTACTTATAGAGGTAATCACTGCGAAAAACCTAAATACCACTCTCATGTTTATCAACAATTATCAATGAGACGTAACTATCCTTTTGGTTTTGCCTTTTAGCTGATCTATTCGAGTTATAATTAATCCTGTTCAGAATTAAAATGAATAGGTTTATGAGTTGTTGTATGTTAATCTAACCATATCAGATTCAGAAATACTTGTTGTATAAAAAATGGAAATAGTACTGCAACAGATAAGTAATAGATTAAAGCTTCGGTAAGCAAAAAAAAATACTGATACAGGTGATGGCAACAAAGAACCAGTGAAATGAATATAGTATACTATAGAACTGCATTCGCAGCTTAAAAAAAAACGCATATATCAAAAAAATTATTGTCAACTAAATGAAAACTCATAGCATAACCAGATTCAGTTGTATTAAATTTATTCTTAACTTTAGATAAATGATATGTGTGAGTTCATAGAAATAAGTAATGAACATTTATTGTTTTTCAGAAACTTCTAATTTGAAACATAGAATCACATGCTTATTGATATTAACTTCGATTAGAATGTTCACGTTACCACTAAAAATTCTAAGTTAGCTGATATCTAATGATATTGTGAAAATCTCAAAATACTTTAGCTAACATCAAATTGTAATATAAAAAATTACTAGATTACTTCGAATAGGTATCTTAATTTTATTCACAGGAAAAACAACAACATTCAGTTTTATTAACCAATATGTACATAATTATCAGAATGGAGATTTGTGGAGATTGTAGTAATCTTAATAGTTGAATACATGAGTCAATCTAAGCTAGACCACGATTGAAAACATCAAAGCACCAGACGCCCGTTTCGTTCTAGTATGGGACTCTTCAGCAGTGCACATCCACAATCCCAAACGCGGGTTTCGAACCTGGGACCTTCGGTCTCGCGTGCAAACATGTACATGATTGTCAAAAAAAACGTCCGACGATAAATATGAGTATGTATTTATGAGTCTTTTGTCACAATAAATCAACTAACATCAAAGTTAGTGAACTAACAAAATATGAAAGCACAGTTCGTCAGTCAAATAGAAAATAAATAAATAAATCTCAACTACACCTTAATGTAAGGCTCAAATGTTCCACGTTATCAATACTCATCAACGAATGGACTTCTTTTTATCACAATGATAATAATATCTTAATGAAAAAGATAATTTTCTTTCAACAATCACGGGATAAGGAATAACAACTTACATGTTAATTTCTTCTTTTAAAACATGCTGACAAGCACCATATATACGTGGTATCAAGATATTGATACCGGGTAAATCAACACGAAGTAAATCAATTGAATAGAATAACACTAAACATAAAATATAATCATTTTTAACCTGAAATCAAGTAAGAAAATAAGATGGGTAACGAAGAGAGAAAAAAGTAGTGTTTCTTTATGATGTTCCTATAGTAAAAAATTAATAAAATTGAAAAATTCTACAATTATTTCATTGATTAAAATAGTAACAATAAAGACAAATGGTTAGTTGAATTCAATTCTTATGAATACAAATACATGCAATATAATATACACTGACATAGTTGTAAATAAGCTTGAAATATATGTGTATATTTTCGTGAGCACCACTAAAATGTATCTCATTACCAAATAATAATAATACTTACGAGAATATATGTATGTAATTGTGGATAACTATGGTTTACATTCACAGAGAATTTATAGATGACTATCATGTGGTGCAAGTATTAATTAATTAAGCACATGCTCAAACAGTAGATACATTTACGTAAAATGTTGTATGTGCAAAAATTACTCCAAATAGATTTTCTTTAATTTGAAGTGAATGCTTCTACAATGTAGTTAATATATATATATATATATATATATATATATATATATATATATATATATATATATATATATATATATATATATATATATACCACAACACCTATTTGCATTCGACTAACAAATAAAGAGCATGACGTTTAAGAATATAAACGAAGGCGACGATAGTGTGGATAATTTAAATTTATTTAAGATAAGAAAACGGTTCGAATGATGAACTGATTAGCAATTTCCCACTTAAATCAGTCCAGAACAGAAACACCATTGATCATTCAATTAAAACTGCCTCGAAATCATACATACAAATGTAAGTTTTATCGATTTATTTCTACTTAAATACTGTTATTTATTTATTCATTTATTATTATTACTATTATTGATACTATCTATGCTAAATTTCAATTTCGTTCATTACTTATATTCAATAATATGAAGACTGTTTTCACTGTGGGCTGAAATCAATTTGAAGCTGACTAAAAATTAGCAGTATACACTTTTGACTTTAAAATAAATCAAACTTTAAGGTTATACAGATATCCATGTTTAGTTCAACAAGCAAAAAAGATAGTCTAAATTCTTTAATTTTATAAAATACCATAAGTATAATCTTACACTACAGTCACTCCTTATAAGTTGAACCTAAGATCAAACCAGTGAATCTCAAATGTTCAACTATTCCCATATAAAAATATCAGTCTAATCTTAAAATTTTTATCTATTTCTAATATAGACGCTAATTATAAAAGTCTTAAATTGTCAATAAACATGAAATTCATAGAAGAATAAGTTACCGTTCTTAAAAATTTCATGATCATAAACCTATCTAATATAAATTAATTACATTACTATCAAGTTAGTACAACTGAGTAGCATATGATAAATAAACAATTTATATGCATAGCATTATCCTTATTATTATTAAGATGTTAATTTGATTCATATCATAAACTAACCGTTGGATCAACAACCAATGCATAATAAAGACATAAATAAAATCGTGTAAGATATTCCTCTGCTAAACGACCACGTTGAGCGTAGATCATTATTCGACATAGTGTTCCAAGAGCTTCAGCACGACCAACTAGAAAACGATTATTATCAATTAATGTAGCTCGATGACTGATCACAGTAACTGAAAGAAAAAATAGTTCAATAATAAGGAGAAATAAAACTGAGTACCTTAGAAGTGACATAATACATTAACATATCATATGAAACGAAAGTTAATCAACTTATTTTAGGAAATAACGAAAGAAGTGAAAAATACTTCCTCTCTCTGTTCAAATGCCTAACTGATTCTTGGTTGGAATAAGATAACTGACTCAACTACAACTGTAACAAAACAATAGTAAACAGCCTGACGACTTTATAACATTTCATTGGGAGCCTTTTGAAATAAACTGTTAAAAATAAACCCAAGTATTTTTATAGATAAAGAAGATATGAATAATTATAAAAACACTAAATAAACTAGTAAGTGACGACGGTAACAACAACAATGAAAGCGAAAGTAAATGCTGTTAAACCGAAACTAATAAAGCGCTTGTACAGGAAGGAAAACATCATAGAAAGAGGCAAAGATATCAACATACAATGCTGTACAAAGATTAACAGCACCCATTTTTAAAACCTTACAGCAGTACATCAAGATAGAAATCAATCAAAATGGAAAGATATTACACTAGACGTGGTCAAATACGGGCTTAGAAAGGAATATAAAATAATTGTAAAAGGCTTGACATAGAGTACAGAATAGAGTTGATTAAATCCAAACGTCGTCACTGATTTTCGATTATACTCAACATGCCGCTTATCACTGGTTTATCATGAAAACATCCTATAAGTCTTGATTTATTTGGGTAATTTAGACAAACAGTTCGCCATTAGCACAGTTTAGTGAGCATTGCAAGTAAAAGTAGACAATGACTTGACGGGAGATGCATACGATCGAGCTGCTTCAGTCAGTGAAAGTTAACAGCCATATAGTTTGACTTACTCTTATTGTTCACAACTTTCAATACATGTTCAACACATATAAAGTGGTACACGATAGTTTATAAGCTGTTTGGTAAGCAAAAACTGACAAATACCAAATTGTCTTATACATTTCAGCTAAAATTTCATTAGCGACCAGTAGTGACCTATCTTCCGAAATGAGCAAAGTCGCGAAACGCATATAGAAAATTTTTAGTTTTTCACTTGAGACAGACTTTCCCCCTCTCTCTCTCTCCATATATATCCTGAGATGTACCATAAAATTACCACGAATATGTCTTCGGAAAACAGTTTACTGTGAAATCATAAGGTGACATCAATAGTTACTTTTGATAGGATTTTTTGCGAACATTTAACAGAATATGAAATTCAATACTTCAATAGGACAGATTAAATAAGAAAATTCTTACCAACAACAATAAATCCACAATTTTTGAACAGAAATCTTTGTAAGTTAGTTAGTTACCAAAAAAACGGTTAGCTGTAAATACACACACAAAAACCCAAGCTAAGATACCAGCTGCATTGTAAAGAGCCCGTCTTTACATAATATAAGGTAAAGTCAACATAATAAACGTAACATATAGCAAACTATTTAGCAAGATGAATGGGAGAAAATCGAAATTTGTATATATGTAAACATACGATGTAAAATGACTGACATTAAACCGATTGTAGTATTTTTTATACATCTAAGGATAAATTTTGAAGATATAACCGATTATATTAAACAAATACTGATTAGTTTAAGTGTTATTGGAATACATCCTCAACTCTTCCACGGTCAAACTTTCTTTCTGCTAAAATAATTATTTAATTGGTTGTAAATCATTATTTCCATGTGAGATCTGATTAATAGAATTCCATGGGAAACATTTACTTTTGATTGTATGTGGAATCATTATTATTTTTATAAAAAAACATTTTGTAAAAGATTTTCTGGAAATCATTACTCTAGTGCATAATAATTTATTTTCTTCAACTGCTTCATACCAATACATAATTAAATGAAGTTAGTGTTAGTGTGATAACTCTCCACTAACCAGCATGAAACTGAATTAGCAAGTGTGATTACTCGAGTTCATTATTATCATAATGTTCGTTATCACACAAGGTATTGGTCTTCATATCAATAATGAAACAATAATACCCAGTGAAATCCTTTCTAGAACTATAGATATTAATAAACGACAGATTTGAGAAGAGCACGGGGAAAGGTGTGAAACAATTTCCTTTAGTACACAGTCAGTTTAATGTTTTACGTAAGACAAAGAGAAGATTGCATCATAAAGGGATTCGAGATTTAAGATATAAAATGGGGTTTATCCTGACGACTATTTAATTGTTATTATGACCTTTATGTTTTTTTCATTTTTCTTCATATCTGTTAAGTGGAATATTACATTTCAAAATTCTGACCTGTTAATTACTTGCATTCTTCTATTCTTATCTAACTCTCTAATTATCACGTAACCCTATTCGGTATTTGATGTATCGAATCACTATATGATGCAATCTTTTCTATCCTTTTATAAACATTTATTTATCATGCAACTATAAATACGAATGTGCAGCTTAAGTAAATAATTTCGTCGAAAACAATTTTTCTTCGCTGAATTCGCAATTACACAATGGGTTACTCTAATTATTACAAGATAACTCGAATTGCACATCAACAGCTCAAATGATATATAATTTTCATTATATCTATACATAATTGTTGCGAATTGTTTAAAAAATCACAACAGGATAAATATACTGGTAACACCGAACAGTCTAATTCAATCCACCAGCTTTTTCACAATTCAACCAGGAAATTAGTTATGTTCGTATAATTTAATACAGAATTTATAGGTGAATTATTATACAAGAGTAGGCCAAACGTATACAAGTATGACCGAACATTAAAAAATCTATCCTCCAAATGGTTACTTGCCCAATATGAACAGAGTATACCTTAAAATTCTACCGGGAATATCTACCAAAACTATAATTTTTAAACAATTGATTTAATAAATCATCGTGATGAATATTGATGGTTAAAAAACAAACTTTCCTAGATCGGTAAACTATATATTTAGGTTATATAATTTAAACATGCTCAAGGTTGTTGAACACAAGACGATATATGATCAGTTATTTAAAAATAACACTGATACTGTCAGAAACAATGAACGGAAATTTCCGTAAATTTAATCCTGTCTGATTTCTATCTGTAAAACACCTACAAAGACAATTCCTTCTCAGTATATTTCAGGTTATATTAATTTAATTAACGACTGCAGTAGTAGTAGTATTTTAACAAGAAATGTGAATAGTCAGGAATTATATTATTATTGGGATAATTTGAAAAGAAAAAGCCTACAGCAACATGTTATTTAGGTATTATTTGCTAAACAACTTGCAAACTAAGGTTGTAGCTTTGACGCCTCATATCAGAATATTTAGTATTATATGGTATTTATAAAAAACATTTTGCAATATCTTAATGATATCGTCTGATTACGATACAGTGCGATATAAGTTCAAGTCACAAAGGGGAATGTCAGAATCTTAGGTATTACAAATACTACTTACTGAAAATTGCCAAATAAGATGTAACCAGAATCATTTATGACCCACTGACTGTAAACAGAATCTTCCCTAACTTCACAGAAAGTAAACCGTAATGCTGAGTCACTTAGACTGATATAGGGTCATATTGTGACTTAATTGAGAGAATTCGATCAAAAAGAAGCATTAGAAAACATGAAACTAATTACTACCAAGTAATTAATGAGTACAAATAATTGATCCGTCAAAACAAATTATTAATTACATTTCTCATTCACTAATTAGTGAATAAGTTTAACAAGCCGTATTTTTCTATCTTCATCTTACTAATATTGATAATGATCAATAGGATTTAAGGGAGACTCAGCTCTTCAGTGACTTATCATTCACTTTAGACATAACAATTCATAAACTAATTCTCGCGTAGATAATTTAATTATTGATGCATTAAAGCAAAGTAATAACATAAACTTATCAGTGATTGAACTCTACAATTTTCTAACTGTCAGTTACGTCATAAAGTACAGACGTATATATTTATTTGATGAAAAAGAAACGACAATATCTAACACCAAGAAATTGGTGATTGAAACAGTAATCATCAGCTAACGAAGTTAACGCACTAAGTTTTTTTAAGAGAAAAAACACGAGCGTGGTGAGTGAGTAAACAAAATTGAAATTATGACGAATACTGATTTATCATGCACAGGCAGAAAAATACCTGTCATAAAATGAGAGAACAATAAACAACTCTACAGAAACATTGTTCAAATTTATCGTGCTAAAAAATTTGGAATATTTCACTTAATCATGAAAATATAAAATAAAGAGGATGACGATTGAAGTAAAGTGGTTTACGCATTTAATACTCAACTCTATGGGACTAAAAAGAACTATCATTCATGCTGCATTCTATATCAGTATGAACAACGAATATGGTATACCTCCTAGTACACAGAATAATAAATAATTAGCAAATTTCTTCTAGATAATGCGCTTAAATCTTAAAAGCAATAAAAAATTCAACCTAAATAAACCAATATCATTAGTAGCATATCCTCCTAGATACAATTTTAAAAAACACAAGATTTTGGCCATTTGTTCTTCTATTAGAAAGAATTAACCAAAGACAAGTGGTCTTCACATAAAGAAAGGAAAAGTTAACATACGTGAAACTTAATACATGGGAAAAACACACAAAATAAACTTACAGTCATAATCTACGAATAAGCAAAGTAGTAGAATAGGTTGTTTCGTACAAAAATCTACTGTACAATAGCATAAAAGAAATTCCTTAATTATGAGGAACATTGGCATGACTAAGTTTATGATGACAAACACCGATGAGACAAATAAGAGTAATGCGGACAAACAAGAAACAATCCGAAAAAAAAAAATATAAAACTTTAAAAATTCAACAATTTCCACAATTTTCTACAGTTGACTGAAAGATGTAGGGAATTCTGGTGTCCAAGAGTACAACAAAAAAGAAATGCTACGTGGTTATAGAGACTAGTCGAGTTACTTCTAACATGATGACTTTTCAATTTTAGGAATATAAAATAATTAATAAGATCGAGTGATATTTATTATACAAGAGACAAAATGATCAACTCTTAAAAGTTTAATCCTGGTACAGAACACTAAAATGGCACTGATAAGTGATAGTGAAAGTAAAATATGATCGGTCGTTGAGCGTGAACAAGCAGACACAGACCACCGACTATTTAATATGTGATTTTCTTTTTTCTCATTGATTTCTATCCTGGGCTCATCGAAAGTGACTGCTCGTAACTGTGATGAATAAAATACTATCTAGTGTTAATCTGCTTCGCTATTGTGAGTCGTGAATCCAGGATCTGATATTACGTGATAAGTCTCATTATCGTATCGACATAATATTGCAGCATACCAGAGAGAAAAATATTTTAAACCACCCATTATATCAGATATAAACGGTGTGACTGCTACTCCAAGATTAATTTCAATACATAATAACTCTATATTTAACCAGCATAAAGAAGCAATAAGACCAATAATAATAGGAAGATTTCAAGTATAGTTGACGAGTGAGATACCCACCTCCAAGATGCTTATTTTTTTGAAGCCTGTAACGTTTGAACACTTATCGGACTTGGCAACACGTGTTCACTTGATACATTAAATCTTCACTACTGATCGATAGATCACCAACTTAAGAGCTATCAAAGCTATCTGAATATTTGCCAAAAATTAGCATATTGCAGTATCAACTCAATATGTTTCATCTTTTATTTGCAGAATCAGATTGTCGATGATTGAATAAGTGAAAACATTACATGTAACTAACCTCAATATTTTTGGCATATTGTTCAATTAGGTTGGGCTTTGTAATTTAGAGAAATATGAAGCCAATTAACAGAGCACAAAATTGAACACAATTATTCAGATTCATTTACTGGAAATCCCCTTACAATTCTTAAATATAATGTAATTCTGAACCTATTCTACGTTTGTTTAGAAAGTAGTTGATATACAACTTATGACCTGATACAAATATATTCTGATCCAAAGTGCTCCACATGTTATTATAAGAGATAAGAAAGCAAAGATGTTAAAATAACTGAAGTATCAATAACAGTTAAAATAAGAAACTATAATGTAAAAAAAAACAAATGAAATTAATAATTAAGAAATAAGAAATATAAAAAAGTATTAAAACTCAAGATTCAGAAGAAAATAAAGAATAGACTTCAAATCCATTAAGAGGCTAACTAGATATGCCCAACTACGATGTAGCCGTCGAATTTTATCAACGATTTTCTTTCGGAGGTAACAGTATGGGAAGTACCTGATACTGCTGCATGATGTCTATTTTCAAAACATTTGAATTTTGCGACAACGGGTTAAATTAGAAAAGATATACACTATTCAAACTGGATTTGATTAACTGATGATTAACCTTAGTAAAAGTATTAGTTTGCTGAATAGACAAGTGTTTTTTCTAGACATGTAGAGGTGATAAAAGAATGTAAATAGTGGAAAGGTTTAATCGAATGTCATTGTGAGCATTACCAATAGTAAACTAAAAATAACAAAAGTGAGACTGAAGGTCCTGGGTTCGATTCTTGTTTACGGGGTCGTAGATGCGCATTACTGAAGAGTCACATACTAGAACGAAATGGCTATTCAGTTTCTCCAGGTCTTCAATAGTCGTCATTTCAGTAAGAAAAAAGGTCCTATTAATACAGAAGTCGACTATATTGGACCTTTTTTAGAAATATATCTCTAACAAAATTATTTTGGATGAATAGATGAAAATTGGTATTTCGTTTAGAAAAGAACGTTACCATGAACGTAATAAGTAAAATATCTAAATGAAATTATTCTAAGAAATATGAATGCATAAATTAACGAGTATAAAAAATCTGCTGTAATATGTGAGAACACAAACATAATTAAAATAAGTACTATCATAAATATAAGTAGTAGAAAAACTGATGAAAAAATTTAGGCATCACATATATTAACTGAATATATTTTAGAGGAGATCGATTATTTAGTAGGGTGAAATCAGTTTGAGAACTGATGAACATGGCAAAAACATTGGATATTAAGCCTAAGTTGAATTTCATTAATTTTTGACGGTATTATTATTAATATTATTATTATTATGAAAATAATAATTATTATATAATCTAGAAATGATTGAAAATGCTGAGATATTCGAATGGCGTAATAAACATCGGCATCAAATGTACATTTTGGGTTAAGAAATCAATGTTCAACATTATCCTAATTTAGTCAACAACCATAAAATAAGACAGAAAAAAGAGGTGAATTACTGGAAACTGATTTACTTACCACTTAAATCTTGTTTAACTCCTGATACTGATGCTTCAAAAAGCCAAGCACCAAATAGTTGTAACAATGAGTTTATTTCTGGTCTTTGAGGATTTAAGATAATTTGAGAATAGGTTGATAACCAATTTGTAGCTAAATTCTGTAAATGGTCGACCTGTAGATTTCTATTAACTAAAGACAATATAGGTGGAATATTTCCTAATTTTTGATTAACTGACTGTCCACTTGTTGAAGCATTTGATAACTGCAAAGATGCTTGTGAACTAGGAGTTTGTGACTGTTGAAAAGCATTTGTCAAAGAAGCATTAATTTCAATAGGAGTTAACGAACTACTATTGGTATGAGGAATATGTATTGAAGTACTATTAAATGGAGCCGACCCAGATTTCAAACCTCCAGAAGTTCCAGCGGAAGCAAGAATACCAGCAGACGTGACGACGCTTGCTAATCTAGATTTTCCTAGGTAGGAATATCAATGCAATAGTTTGAAAAATCACTTTAAGCGTATTGTGACAAAGAATGTAAAGAGCAACATAACTTAGAAAAGAGTATACAGTTATATTAGTAAACTGACTTATAATAGTCAGTAATCGAGTAGAGATTGATGTACTCAGCCTTCAGTCAAACTTAATTTATATGAATTAGTGATTCTACTAGCATTCTATCGACTTTAGTGTGAATCAAAATAATTAAAACACGGTATCAATCTTCGAACCAACAATCTAAAGTCTAATGTACTAGCCATTAAGCCAATGAACCTTTAAAAAACCTGTTACTCTTTATCTTATCTACCATATACCTAAGTGTGCATAAATGATTCAGATACTTCCGAATAAATATCAAATCTATCTAGTTATTTTATGTGAACTCAAATAATTGTCCAAAAATATATTGTACTTTATATTTTACAGAGGGATTTTCGCTTCTTTACTTTTTTTATAACTTGAATGATTACTTATCAGCTCCTATTTGAAGCGGTTAATAAAATCTCAGTAAGCTAAACCGATAATCATAGATGGGAATCGTTGAAGTTTTATCAAATTAATCTTTAAGGAATTATTACCTGTTAATTTTCAAATACTGTTAAATTGTCAACTTTGGTGAGTTGTCACTTGTTATTCAAACGTAAACGTAAAAAACAATAAAATTATTGCTCAAATTCAGCAGGGAATTTATCAGTCACAAATTTCTATGATAATTGTCTAAATTTTTAGTATTGATAGGGAAGCGAACTACTAACTACAGTGAGCATAAGTAAAAAATGATTTATAAATACTTTCAACAAGACTTTTAAATGGATTTAATCAACTGTTGGATCAGTAATAGGCTAAATGTAATTCCTATTGCCAATGAAACATATCGAACGGTACAAATTCTACTACAGACAATTATTAGTGATGCTACATAAAGACATACTTCATATAATAATTTTATTTCCACACTTCTGAAAATGGACTAAACAAACAAAGAGAGTACTATCAGTTAGTCGATTCTAACTGTACACAAAACAGAAGAAAGACATAAAATGCTAGACAAATGCCAAATTCAGGATGTTAATTTTACAAAACATTCATTTGAAGTTCCTGAATAAGAAAGGATTAGAAAATGTCGTTCTAATCAATGAATGTGTGATAAAAACGATTGAAAGACCTTTACTTAAAACGAGTTATACACGCAAATCTTAGAAATACGTGTATTCGCCAAAATTTACCAGAACATTAAAAACCCTACAGTTTTCATAGGAATTTGATGGGATTAAAATACTAAACATATGAAGAATAATTACATGAATTGAAGTACACTATTTAAATCGATTCTGGAAAAAACAATATCGCAGAACATACACTGAAGTGTCCTTAAGAAAACGGAAAATACTTCAATTCATTTTTGATTGTTTGTTTGAATCTTTCCATTGATGTTTAGGACTGCGATTGATCAGTCTCTTATTGGCATATGTACATCCTGTGCGGATTGCCTCGATATTGCCTTAATTCACTAGCACTATAAGCAAGGATGGATAGTGGCTAGCATTGAAATCCAGGACGCGCGTTTCGTCCTTTTTGGGACTCATCATCTGGATGTACCTGCATCTGAGTTGATGTTCACTCTGGGACTCGAACCCAGTACCGTTCACTTCAGACTCCAACGCGTTACCACTTAGCCGGTACTGTGTTCGAGTCCTAGAGAGAACACCAACTCTGTGATGCAGGTACATCCAGTTGACGAGTCCCAAATAAAACGAAACGCGCGTCCTGGATTTCATCGCTAACCACTATCCACCTTTGTTTAGAATGCATGTGGCTTAAGGAAAATACTTTAGTTATTAAAACATTTTAAAAATAGAAACAATTACTTACTAGTTGCTTTTTCTGTAGAAAAACTACCAGCAGCCAACCGTGTTCCACCTTGAATATTTGAAAAACCCGTCATAAGGGCTTTCCTGACTTCTGATGTGCATAACATAGAGAAAATAATCAGCACTTATGTTAACCGGGTGTTATTCATAATCGTTTTAAAGAAAATTATATAAATAAATATGTTTGTAATACAGGAAACTGTAACGACATTACAACTAATTCCAGAGTATTTTTTAAAGTGAGAGTAACGAGGTTTCTTCATTACAATTTCTATTTGGACCTCAGTAACTAAATGTGTTCATTCACTTGATACTGAGTAGAATTTTCTTGTTTAAGGGCTAATGATACTATCTGGGACAATCCGAGTTAGTAACTTAATCGTTGATAGCCAAGTGCCTTGACCAATGAATTGATGCACTGTTACAAAGAAGTCATGAACAAAATTGTAACAAATTCCAACAAATGGTAAATAAATTGACTGATCAAAGAGAAGTTGAATTTATTATTATAAATAAGATTACTAGACAATCCGTTCAAAATTAATATATAGATAAGAGAAATGGATGGTACGTACATGATATACGATATATCATCTCCTTAAAGCATTTCACACTGTAGAGTATAATAGTTTATAAATTATATAAATGTCAGTCTAACTAATAAAATTATATATAGAACACACACTTCATAGATTTAAACCATTTATAACCACAGATTTCTACATATATCATATTACATATTTTACAAAAAGATTTCAATCAATAAGTTACCATCATCATTGTTCACGCTTTGTGTATCTGTGTACTTATGAAATGAAGGGTAACTTTGAAATAATCGACCGATAGGACCATAAAGTTCTGGAATTACACCAACAAATGGATCGATACCAACTGTAAGACTTGGCTGAATACCCAAAAATCCATCCACGATCATTGACAGACCACGTAGGGCTTGATGATATAGATAGGGGAAATAAACAGATGTCCATCGAATTCTATCATTGCAATTGTATTTCCTAAAAGACACACACAAACACACACACACACACACAGAGAGTTAGTTTAATCAGTACTTTATAAATGTTATTTATAGATAATGTTATAGGTACACGATCTCTTACATAGTTTCATGATACGACAGCTGAATGTGAAATTCGGAGACTAAAGAGATATGATGACCGCGTTAACAAATGTACCCATACCTGCCATCATGATTAGACTCATCGAACTTATTGAAAACTGTTGGTTTGAATGTTATGAAGACCCAAATTTACTTTTGGACAAAAAATAACATTTTTATTAGTCTCATTAAATATAAAAAATAATGACCAAACAATTTATCAGTTGGTACATAAAATCGACACAGTAAAGAATGATAGATTATACAAAGTTGATTTAGTTGGGCTATGAAATAAAGAGAAGTGAATGATGAACTGTAGGGGACCAAGTAAATTTAGACACAGATTAATATCATGTAAAACTTTGCTGCACTTTTTCAACTATCATCCTTTGTCAGCTTTTGATTTAAATAAATATACGACAAATGATAGCTTTAATGAAGCGTTTTGAACGTATGGGGTTTACAGGTTTCCAGTTACTAGGTAATTAAAGAGATAGCAAAATAGTATTGATGAAACAAAGACAATCGTAAAACATGCTGAACACGAAAAATGACATCACAACATACAGTCTACGAAGAAAGTTCCATCAAACAGTCTTTTCTGTATCAAAATAATGATGATAGGTGAAAATATGAAAAATTAATACTGTCTTTAATCCCATTCATAAGACACTAGATTGAGAAGCTTTATTCGTGAATTGTATTTAATATAGTTTGGTTAGCAAGCATCAGTGATTATCGATTAGTGATACAGAACAGCTTCAATACTCCAATCCCTGTAGTTTTATTGAAAGAGTTTCCATAATAAAAAATAATACTGAAATCACCTAATTAGGTTTTCACTTACATAACTTACTCCTTTCTTGAATTAGGGATTTTGAAATCACTTGCTTCGATATAAAAAACTTACAGTGTCAACCATTTCTTAATTTCTGTTACGCCTCTACTTGATTACGGCAGAATACGATATACAACTAATGGCACTTGAACTTGTAGAACCCCACAATGACAAATCAAAAGACGGGGAAGTGATTATTGGGTAAGAATAAAAAATGTACGGAAAAACGTGGGTATCTATAATTATTAATACTGGCCATAACACCATTATAATTCAGCCCACCCGCATGGGAAAAATTATGCTATCGTCCAGTCGTAGCATGCCACGTGGATATTCCTATGGTTCTACCAGTCAGTTAGCTACAACGTAGGACCAGGCACATACATGTATCTGTCCAAGCTGCCATACCTCATTAACACAATAAGATGAACACCGGATTCATAAAAGTAGTTAATTCAGAGGTGGTAATATATAAAAGAACGATTGCAATAAGGATATAGTACAAGAAGAAAGAAAGATATGAAGTGATTTTAATCTCTTAGTTTAAGGGAAGACAGGGAGTGTATACACCGACGCCATTGTGATCGATTCTGAGCCATGCCACCAAGAATCCCCAACCATTGGTTACGATAGTCACGCGGACCACAACCAAGTAGTCTGCATCTATCAACATGGCTCAGACTAAAAGTTAGTGACTTCAAGCACTGATGCCACGTGTCGGCTTGGCCGCCCCTAACTTTCTTCCAACCATTTCCAATACCGGATAGCATTGCACGACGTGGTAATCGATGTTCAGGCATACGTAACACGTGGCCCAACCATCTCAGTCGATGAAGATTCACAACCTCATCAACTGATATACCATCATTCCCTAATACCCTGCGTCGAACCTCATTATTACTTACCCGATGATCCCAGCAGATGCCAGCAATATTTCTAAGGCATCTGTGGTCAAATACTAGTAGCTTACGGGTGTCTTCTACTCTTAAGGGCCATGTTTCGCTGCCGTAAATTAAAACAGAACGGACTGCCGAGCAGTATACTCGTCCTTTTATTGATAGATGGATATCTCGCCTTCGCCATAGGTGACGCAGGTTGGCAAAAGCCAAGCGAGCTTTTCGAATCCGTGCTGAGATTTCGTCAGACACCAACCCATTAGGGCTGATCAGACTTCCAAGATAAGTGAAGTTGTCAACGCGTTCGACTACTTCACTCCCTATCCTTAGTTCAGGTGTTGACGCAGACCAGTCCTGAAGCCACAACTTGCATTGAGAGGAAGAGAAGCGCATCCCAAACATTCTGGCATTGTTGCTCAGTGCTATCAAAAGACTCTGCATTTTATCAGCGTCTTTACCAAACAGGACTATGTCATCCGCGTATTCTAAGTCGATAAGTGGACCTCCTGGAAGGAGATCAATACCCGAGAATTCAGTCGACGAGAATGTTATTTCCATCAATAGGTCTATGATGAAGTTAAACAAAAAATGGAGAAAGTGGACAGCCTTGATGGACACCACTTGAAGTTGCAAAAGTAGATGACAGTTCGCCATAAGCTCTGACTCGACTAGTAGTGTTCGAGTAAAGAGCCTTCACAAGGTTTATGTACTTCTGAGGTACGCCTTTCAATAACAGACACTGCCACAGAATCTCGCGGTCTACCGAATCAAATGCTGCTTTTAAGTCAAGAAAGACCACCATTGTCGGACGCCGATAAGTATGCCTATATTCTAGAACCTGACGAATGGTGAATATGTGGTCGATGCAGCCACGACCAGGTCTAAAGCCAGCTTGATTCTCTCGTGTTTGCAGATCACGAGTCTTAGTTAGGCGTCTGATAATTATCGAGGCTAGTATTTTAGATACTATATTTGTTAAACTAATCCCTCTGTGGTTGTCACAAGATGATTTTGACCCTTTCTTATATATTCGGACAATCAGTGATTGCGACCAGTCAGATGGGATAACGTCTGACTCCCAGATCTTATTTAAAATATTAGTCAACCTAATCGCTAAAATTGGACCACCATCCTTAAAGACCTCTGGAGCCAATCCATCTGGACCAGCTGCCCTTCCTCGTTTCAGATTAACTATAGCCTTTTGAACTTCAGCAAGAGTTGGGGGACCTACTTCAATGTTCCATTCATACTGTCTGGGAATGGAGGGTAGTTGTAGAGTAGCTGAAGGCCAGCTGAACTGTCTTCTGAAATGTTTCGCTCATCGTTCTAAACGTCTGGACTGAGAGCAGATGAGGGTGTCGTCTTTTTCCGAAATAGTCTCACTTACACTTGACTTATTAATTCCAGTTGTTTTTATTAGTCTGTAGAGCTGTCTTGTGTTCCCTATAGCCGCCGCCTTTTCCATCTCTTTTGATTTCGCTGCCCACCACTGCTCACGGTCCTTCCTTAGACTTTTGGCTAACCTAAATCTGATTTGTTGTCGCTCTTCATCGTGTTCACAGCCTGATGGGATGAGTTTACGAGAATCCATCAGTGTGATAGACCTTGAAGAAATTCACTGGTTCTTTGTAACTCTGTGGTTTAAGTTACTAATAGATGTCACTGCTGTTTCCACAGTTGATTGTATGCCTTTCCAAGCAACATCTGGATCAGCCTAGTTTTCAGAACTACCTAAGTGTGACCTCAGTTGTTCCTGGAAACTACTTTTGGTTTTCTCGCTACTCAATTCAGTTCTAATGGGTCTTTTTACTGAGGCTTTTTTGCGTCTAGTGAGGCGCAAGTGGATGTGTGCCCGTATTAGGGCGTGGTCGGAGTCCAAACAGGTACTCCAGAATGAGCGACAATCTTCTACCGACCCTCTCTAACGATGACTGATGGAAATATGGTCTATTCAAGTCCATCGTTGGTTTGGTGTAGTGGGTCGCCATGTTAGACGATGTCTCTCCTTATGCTTAAAATTTGTGTTTGCTAAAAATAAACGATTGTCTGAGCACAGTTGCAGCAGACGATCACCATTATCTGTTCGTTGTGCCGGAATAAAAAAATACCCACCTAAATGCCTTTCTGTTTGGTTTAAACTGCCTATCTGAGCATTAAAATCACCTGCTACGAGTACTATGTCTGAACGTTTAGCCTTCTGAAGAAGTTCAGATAGCCTTCTGTAAAATTCATCTTTCACTTCATCTGAGCTGCAGTCAGTGGGAGCGTAGGCAGAAACGACAAAAAGGCAACGACGTGTGTCCCTATCCTTCCGAGTTCTTACGTAGCCGTTCAGCTGAACAGCACATAGACGACTGTTGACGGGGATCCACTTCAGCAGTGCTTGTTCGGCCCTCATGCTTAGTGCTATGCCTACACCTGCCAGTCCAGGAGAACTTGCCATCGGGTTACCAGATACACGAAGGGTATCTTGTTGGCTCTCCGTTTTGTCGAGGTGAGGTCAAGTGAATAACCACAATGGAATCCTGTATGCGTGTTTCAGAGACACAGCATACATCAATGGTACGAGATTCTACGGTTCTAGCCAAGAAAGCCTGTTGACCGACTTGACATAGGGTTCGTACGTTGAAGGCTCCAATGTGTAGTTTGGAGCGAGGTTTCAGTAGACCTGGGACAGTGTTTTGCGCACAAGAATCGTTGGCTATGGTGACACTTGAGGTGGAAGCCGGGAGAGGAAATTTAAAGTTGAAAGTCGATGTAGGAGGAATAATAGGAATTGAAGAGGGAGGTTGATTATGAATACAGTGGTCTTGAGTGCTGTTAGAGGTATGAGGGCGGTTATCACTTCCCGGTTGACCACACCGTGGAAGGGTTCTTCTGGAGGTACCTGAAAAGGAAATTGGATTAAAGGTGGTCTTAGTGACCTGAGAGCGTGAGCGCAGTGCCCAAGGGACAACTGCTTGAGGTCGGTCACACACGACCTTGTTATGGGTAATTTTTGTGTTAGCTCCGTACTTTTTGAGACCTTACCGCCGGAGACGGATATCCGTGGGATAAGGTGAGGTGTGCATTTTTAGGGTCGACCTTTTCTAATCCCACCCTTTCTTGTGGGAAGGCAGCATCGCTGCAATGCTGGTTGTCTGAAGGAAACACCTTACTGCTGTCACATCTCTGTACAGTCAGCAGTACGACTTCGCCTTCGGACCTTGGGTTTGTCGCTTTTAGTCTTACCGCTCTTCAACCGACCTGTCTGACATGGTAGGACCTTGAGGAACAGTTGTTCCAGCCAGTATAGCTCGGTTGCTTCATCACGATAGACAAGCCCGACCACCACGTCAAGGTAGCAACAACGGTCGGGATGGTTCTACCAATTTCTAACTGGATGAAATCTTTTCGGCTGCTTTAGTCTCTGGAGGTTTCGTAGTGCTATTCGAAGCCGTCCCAAGAATTACTAATGATTACTCAACTTGTTTTTGTTTTGTAATAAAGATACCTTGGTACTATTACTTTGATAATAGTCTATAAATATTGTTGTACAAACACTAAGAAATGATGGCATGATGAAATTGCTAGGTTGACCTGACTTCTATTGTTATCGAAATAATGAACCAACAATAAAAACAATAACAATGTAATTCTTTTGTAATCTATTATACATGAAACAGTTATTCAGTTAACATACCTCTAACAAATGATAAATAAGCTAATGATGTGAACAATGCTTTTAACTAAATTGCTCACTTAACAATCAAATACAGATTTATGGAAATCGCAGGATTTTCACAGTTTTGAATCATGTAGTTAGACGTTAACACTACTGGATACCAGGTCAGTAGTCTGAAAGTTAAAGTATTCGCGTGCAAGACCGAAGAGCCTGGGTTCGATTTCCGGCCGCAGGGTCATGAGAACTGCTGTGGAGCCCCATACTAAAACAAAATGGGCTCCCAGTGCTTTCAAGATTTAAATAGTGGTCTAGCTAAGATCTCTTAGTAATTTGATACTGGGGAAACTGAACATACTTATGAATAAAGTTGACTGGTTCAATCTAGACAAATTATAATACAAAATATTCTTTATTGTTTGATACATATTTGAATAATCTAAAACCCCTTTGAAATTCCTAAATAAACAAAAAATAATCTATAAAAAAGAAAGAAACAAGTGGAAGAAGGTGGTTTAGTTTTTCAATAACGAAGTTAATGAAAAGCAATTTATTCGTTGAACCACTTTCCTTTGCTTTTTTTAATCTGCAAAAGTCAATACACCATGAATACTTGGTGTCACAAAACTTTGGAGTTATTTATAACTGATAGTGATGTAATCTCTTTTTTAATTTTTAAAGTATGTGTTTTTATTTTTATTTTGGAAATGATTAAGAAAAAACTAAAAATTCAAAGTTTTAAAGTCCATGTGAAGTTTTAATACTCAGTATGAAAATTTAATAGTTTGCATTAAACCATTTAATAAAAGTGACATACAAAGTATCCACCAACGATTTATATCGAATCTTATCAGTTCAAAACTGCAATACAGTTTATTCAACAAACTGTAAACTAAATTACATAAGTTAAAATTCTCGTATTATTTAACCAATCAAAAAGATTTAACGGGAAGTGAAACGATATTAATGGAAATGGAAGGGAATACAAACGAAAAGTAGACAAAAAAGGTTAAGAATTTATCATAAAATCTAATGTGAATTCATCAGTAACATTATGACCAATTCTGAACTATATTACCATATGTCGCCAAACAACAATTGTCATCAAGTTGAAGGCCTCACTCTTTATTTTATTTATTTATTTAAACACATAAACATTGGTACAAGTGGGCACCAAATAGATATGCACCACATAAACCATTCGATTTGAATGAGGGCCTAGTTCAGTAAGTCTACAACTCTTTGAACGATTCAGACTAACACTCATTGGCTTCGTGGATTGATGTCATGTTGTAGTTTGGTCAATTAGTTCAACCTTTTTCGGTCTAAGCTTGGTTTGGTCAGTAAAATATGCTGAAGTACAAGATGACTCACACAATCCAGTTAATTCAATCGATGGAATTTCACATCCGCATCAAACGATTTATCTTTAATTTGTCTAAAATATTGAATTTAGCCTCAACATTACCCAGTTGACGATTTTGTAACACATGAATAATGATCCAGAGGCACTTAAGAACAAATGCCTGTATCTAAGTATATCTTCCAACCTTGTAAGTCACGCCACACAGATGTATGATAACACGAAGCTGGCCGTTGAACATTGAAACTATTATTAGGATAGGACTTTAACTAACAGAAATCTTATTCTTAAAAACGGTAAAAAGTTTCTATTAGTTTTACAAACAAGTTTGGTTTGTGTCAACTGCTTAACAACACCATTAACTTCACTGAACATGTGAGAACGATAATCCATCAGGACAATGATAAAGATTACAACTGTCATGGAAACCATATGGAATAAGAAAAATCCATAAGAAGTTCTTTCATATCATCAGGATATACCTTAACAAGTAAAAATACCAGGGTGAAACAGAGAAAATACAGTTTATAACTTACTTATATTCCTCAAAAATCGGTGTATTACATATTAAACGTTCATGACTAAGATCTACTGGATTGTCGATCAAATATAACATACGAATCCAAGATTCTTTCGCATTTCCATCAGGTAGATCAGATGGAATTAATTGAATGAAAGAAGCATAAGCTAAATTAGAATGAAATAATTGTATTGATTAACTTGAAGATCAATAGTGTGGATAATGCGATGGTGTTTGAAACAAAAGGTAATGCGTTCAAGTCTTCATGTGAAAATCAATACTTAGCTCAGGTAAATCCTGTGAACGGATCCCAAGCCGGACGAAACACGCGTGCTGAATTCCACCACAAACTACATATCAAATATACTGAAAAAGTGTGACTTAATGGCAATATAGAAGTAATCTAGTAAGGATGAAAATATGGTAACATAGACTAATCAATGGCAGTCTTAAATATCCCCGTCGGAAAACTATATTAATGTTAATCCACCTAGATTAATCTATAGGAACTTAACATTTAGACAACGTCCTGAGAAAGCAACAACAGCTCAAAAGAAAACTTTTTATGAATGTCGAATTTAAAGGAGATACGGCTGCTAAAATCTTGAATAAACCGATTTCAAAACCCCTGAATAAAATTTATTCAACTAAGCTCCGCGTTGTCTTCTCAAGCCAGCTTCTCATTCAGGGATATGTTGAGGACAAATTTTCTTTTTGGGTCATATCGATAAATTTACTTGCTCCTGTACGGTAGGTTACATTGGCCGCACAAAGCGATCACTTTCCAAACGCATCTCAGAACATTATCCGTAGTGGCTTTTAAAAGGAGAATGCAAAAGTTACCAACTCAATACAGGAGCATCTAATCAACTTTGGACACGTCACTTCGAAGGAGTCTTCCTTTAAAATAATCAACACAATCCAATGAACTGGATCGAAGGGAGGTCGAATTAAAAACTTATGCGCAGTTGAGGCCCGGACTCTGTGTGTAAAAACGATACGTCCAACCTCTCATCCTTCCTTGACCCTAATTTCCTTCTGTAGTATGTTTTGGTATATTTTTAATTAGTGTTTTGTGATTTTTAACCGTAACCAGTTATTATTATCCATTAACAATTTTTCATGATTATTATCAAGTTATTATTATGACATTTATGTTCGTTTTTCTTCATATCTGTCAAGCGGACAACTATCTTTCATAATTTTGACCCGTTAATTATTTACATCTTTCTATTTTTATCTAACTCTCTGATTATTAAGTAACTCTATTCGATATTTGTAGTCTCGAGTCGCTTTATGATGCAACCCTTTCTACCTTTCTATAGACATATATATATATTTACCATACAACTATAAATACAAATGTACAGATTAAGTAAATAACTTCGTCGAAAAGAAAATTTTCTTCGCTGAATTCTGTTTTTACTACTCAACGATACAATGGGTTATTTTAATTGCTCTAAAAATAACAATTGAGAAATTAAATAAAGCAAGAACAAATATTGGTGCAGAATAGTATGAATTCATATTATTTCGAGGTTTCTCGTCAGCTGCTTACAACCCAAAAATGTGATAGAATTTTTACATTGAGATAGAGTGAAACAATTGACATAAATGAGTGTAAATAACTGGGTTACAATAATAACTATATATATATATATATATATATATATATATATATATATATATATATATATATATATATATATATAGTTATTATTGTAACCCAGTTATTTACACTCATTTATTTCAATTGTTTTCACTCTATCTCAATGTAAAAATTCTATCACATTTTTGGTTTGTAAGCAGCTGACGAGAAACCTCGAAATAATATGAATTCATACTATTCTGCACCAATATTTGTTCTTGCTTTATTTAAATTCATAAAGGGAACCAATTACATGAAATTGAGAAATTAACTAATAGAGAAAAAAATCGCAACTAGTGGGGTGAAATATTCACCATTGAATGATTTCATATAAATCAATCACAACCTACTGCAAAGACGATGTCATAAGCATATAGTGATTATTTTTATGTAATATTCAGAATTATATACTGCATTGAATCAATTCAAATGTCCAACTGTAACACTCAATTTTGTTAGATTAGTTCAAAAGAATAAATTCATAAAAAAGAAAGACTATCATTGTGCTATGTTGTTAGAAGATATCCGAAAGCCTAGATGTACTGTTAGTAGGTACAAAGTATTTTGATAACAGACTAACCATATTTTTAAAAAGGTTTGACATTCTAATCTTTCTATGGTTTGGTAAGGGAAAATTGACTCTAAACCATAATCTAGTCAACTTGTTCTTAAGGAATATTGCTCAAAGGAACAAGCAATTTTCGGGGAAATAGTTTTTAAAAAATTGTTTACATACGTTTCGAGATGCTTTGAACGATGTAATAAAGTAATATCATTGAAACACTTTTGCGATACGAGTCTTATTATGATCCTTCGTGATCATTGAAAACACTTCTCGTTATCAACTTCACTGAGACATAGATTGTAGTGAATAAATCAATCATATTTTTGTATCTATTAAGATTCTAGAACACAACCTCATTCGAATCTGCTTTTGAAGAAAGTACTGGACAAATATTTTAGTATTTTGCGTGTGATTCGATCTGTGAGAATCCAATTGTTTAGCTGATGATGAATGAAAAATAGTCGTTATTGATCATAAGACGTATCATACGTTACTATTTTAACATGGTTTCGTCACATACTACTGACTATATGTTGGAAACTATGTCTGTTTTTTTTATTTTCCTGATTTATAGCACAGGTCACTAAGTAAGCCACCAATTTAGTCAAACTAAAACACTGATAAGCTATAATTGCCACTTAACTTTGCGGCATAATCCGGAATATTTGAAAGTGCGTTCAACTTCCAAATTCTGTCTCGCTATCACATATACCAATACAACAACACTCAACTTGCAAAAGATGGTCTTGCAGCATTGATTATCGAAAAAATTATATATATAAGACTACGTAAAAATTACCGTTTAAGTTAGTAGGTTTATTTAGTATACCAAGTAAAGTAGCGGATAGTGCCACGGAAACACGAGACCACTGTTTAATAAACGCATTATGATGTCGCCATACTCTTGCGCACTCTCTAAATGCGACCCAAAGTTGTGGTTTAGGAAAACAATGAGTACAAGCTTTTAACCAAGTACTGAATAGTAAGTTGGAAACGCAGTCTGATATGACGTCAAATAAGGTAGCTGAATCCTTGGTGCCCCTAACATCTGAAGAACTGGAATGATTTGACAAAAGAGCCATAGAATTAGGTCCACCAACAGATCCTGATCCCGAAATAAAAGTATTGGTCATCTGAGAAGCCCCAGTAGATGACTGGATTAATCCTGATGGTAAATGTAAAGGTGGTGACAGAATAGCATGACATATGATCAGACAAAATCGCAATATACAATCCCAGGAGTCAGATGTTAACTGAGTCGGTACTGAGCATAATTCTTCGACTGCAGCAGCCACCAGTTTTATAATGTCTAACTGCTTATTTAGCAACGCTGATAAGTGTGTTGACTCGATCACTAAAAAATTATTAAAAAAATAGAACTAAACAAAAATTTAATTTTAAAAAGCAGAACGAATAAACAAAACTTACAAACCAAAACTAGGAATAGGGATTACATTAGAGTGGCAACTGAAAATTGTATATCTACGTTGCATAAACCATTCTTTATGTAAAATTAGAATAATAATGACATCCGGAAATCAGTAAAACTGATGCAAACTAGCGTAGCTCCAACAGGCTAATTTGGAATGTTACAATATAATCTACTTGGACCATTAATGGCACCAACGTACTAAAATTACGAATACGATAAAAATTACCGTCTTATGTAACCACATCGAAACTACCTTGCTTACCTGGACTGATATCGTTAGGTATTTTGAGACTTTGTCAAAACTCTAAGCAATGTCATTATGATCTGTTAGGAATTCATCATTACTATACAGTAAACTAATGAGAGCAGTGATTCTGAAACAGTTGCGCCGCACTGTTAAGTTGGGTTTCAGCCAAACATTTTTTTAGTTTTGTCATCCCTCACTAACTTGATCTAAATACATAAATATTATAACCGTCCTTACCACTATTATACGACAATCTCGTTTGCAAGATGGAAGTTTTTATTATCCACAAGATACGAATTGATTCCATGTTAGAATATTGCAGCACAGATGCAACAAAATGAACAGATCTGGTGAAAACTGAGACAACAGTTAAGTCACAAACACAAAAAGAGGTATCACAACTACAAAACAGCTAAACACTGAACCTTCCCGGTCATGGGAGGGGGATCACGAAAGTGCCGAAAATTCCATGATGGTGAAATACCTTTAACCTTCATGTTCTCATGTATGTGAAAATTACAAGGAGGTAACTGACAAGAACCAAGTGTGCTAAAATACTTATGGTGGGTTATTACCTACGAAAAGCCGAGAGTCACCACATTATTGACTCAGGTGACATTAATATGGCTCCAAACAAGCCACATGTTTTAATAAGCTGATGAGAATAACATAAAACAACATTTATGACAAGAATAAATGAAAGGCTAAAACTCTAACCTGTAAAAGAAGATGGAGCTTCAGATGAGTCGGCACTAGTCAAATACTGTGGAGGTGCTAAACTTCGACCAAGGGTTGAAAACATTAACTTAGGCTGATCACTTAATGGTTCTGGATCACGTGGAAGGAAATAATAAGTAAGGGAGAACAAAAGGGACTTTAAGAAACGTTGTGGCTCCTTTTGTAGAATCAACGGAATTGGTGAGTTCGAATTCCCTGATTGTGTGGAGCGTATTGAAGAATTAAGACATTTGATCCAATAGCAGTAAATATGTGCACTGTGTTTGATGACGTCCCAATTTTCAGATGACATAGTCAGTCCGTAAGTGATAGCCTATGTAATAAAAATGAGACTGCCTAAAATCAGCGTACGTAAGATATGATTGGTATGACTAAAAATGAAGCACATGTGACTGCTTACGACCACGTTAGTAAATAATGACATTAGCGCTTATAAGGTGACCGATTCATTCTAACATATCACTGTTCATATATTTCACAAAATATTACAAACCATAAATCATAGTCCAAACACTTCATCCATGGTTTCAGGCTAAGTGATATACATACAACTTAGCCACACAAACCCTATAAAATTGATTGTCTCTAAGAGCAGACCAGAAAATTTTGTTTATAACATAGGAAGAAACAACATAGGATTCGGGAAGTTTAAACGTTTTAAAAATTCACCTTTATGGTATCTTAAGGCAAAAATCAAGTGTTTTTCTTAAATGTCACACCATGAGCCATCTCAAAAAATGGAACATAAAACATTTCTATACGGTTAAAATGCCTAAAACATCATACAGATGCTAAGAGATTCTAGCTAGTTAGGTATGAAATCCATTTTTGCGTGATAGGTGTTAAGAACGAAGGACAAAAGAACAAAAGTTCATGGGAGTAAACTTTATCACTTTGCTTTTTGTAATAACCGTAGAAAAAAAGAAATAAAGGTTAATGATGTGAAAATCTGTTCTGGCTAACAAAAAAGTCAAATGGTCATTTGCTTTTAAGTAATTAGTATCAAGTACCACATATGCTTCATAACAGAATTGTGTAGCAAATATATAGCGCTACTATGTGTCTCAAATCTTAATGCACCAAAAACTCAAATTCCTATGACACTAAAGACTTCGCAAGAATTGATTGGTTTTAGGAAAATTTGTTTTATTGTCAGTCACCTTAGTTGCAACAAAAACTTCGTATAAACAGGAAAAACTAAGACACATAGTTGTATGAATTTATGAATCATTATATTTGGTCAGTCAGAATTAACGTAGAGCATGGTAAGAATTTGAGTTGCTCATGTTGTCATACCATTATAGCATAACGAGATGAAATTAACAAGATGAATAGCAAAAAAGTAACAATGATAGTGAGAAAGATTAAGTGGGAAATTTTACAGATGTATAACAGACTAGTACATACATAGAACTGCCTGCAGTACCGTCTGCATACATGAAATGCAAACACAACCATATGATATATACATACATTCTTAACCTACAACGATTACACAGTATTACTAAATTTACATCAGATAAATATAGATAATAGTAAAATAATTTTAGTCACAACGAATAGGCTTGTGACTCAATGGTTTATAGATTTAACTTCCAAGGATTCAAGTTAGAAATTCTAATCTATAGGATAAATTGTAGGTATTTAAACAGAATAACAAACCCTATTAAAATAACCATAAATAAGAAAAAGAGTATGGATTACAATCTAATTTTCCTTGTAGAACAGATTCTGTTTTACTAACTCGAATCGATAATATTGCTGCAATAAATATTGGTAATAGCAGGGATTAAATATTGATCAACGTGCTCACTTTGAAACTGGAAAAAACAACTATAAACTGAGAATGTAATATAAACTAGTGATTCATCATCATATAATTATACATACACCTGGAAATTGCTATTGCTTACTTTTGGAACTCCAACAAAAGTACAAAGAAAGAGAAGGTATAAATGAAACCTTTGTGCAGCTGTAATGCAAAGACCTACGTACTTGACTAGAAATCAAATTATTTTGATCAAAGCAACCGGATAGTATTGCTTACCAGTATATAATATGTATGTTCAGCAAATTTATAGCTACAGATTCGCAAAGCACTGACCTCCCTAAGTCAGAAACTCAAAAAATAAACTCTAGACTGATACATCCTGTGTACCTTAGATATCCTAAAATTTACCCCTGCAGGTCAGATATCCCGATTCGAGACTCGACCTAAGAGATACTGAATCTAATTTTAATACATTAATGACTGATTGTGTGAAAGTTACACAAGAATCATACTGTTATAAGAGAAAAAATATTTGCAAATTGTATTTTGAACGTACGTGCATAACCCAACGCAGTTCATCTGGAGAATCAAAACGTACTACGGAAGTCTGACCAGAAAAAGATGAACGCGGATTCGGTGCTGAAGAAACATTTTGGGGAAGAGATATAGATTCGCTTCGATGAGAAACAGAACCATCATGTGTTGCATCGGTATTGGCAGGTACTACATCACCAGACGATGACAGAAGAGTACATGAACAATCACACTAAAATTTGATTAAAATAAGTTCCCGTATAAACAGGAAAAAGATAGAAAACAGTTTCACTATTTTCGAATTGGTCAACGTGTAAGTAATTTGCATCACCATCTAGCAAGAGTTTATCTAATAATGCATACACAACGTAAGGTAGTTGGGAGTGGTCAGCAAGAAACTCTGCTCTAGGTTTCATGAGACTTAGAATTCATGACTAAAATGTAACTATAATGCTGAAGGGAGTGATGCCCTCTATGGAGTTTGAACAAGCGTCGCCCAGCTTCACAGCCTGAGACGTTACCGCTGAGCTATCAAGTCCACAACTTACCTATAAGACATCTTGTTTATCAAACAATCATATGTCTATATACAAAAATATTTAGCAAAATGTGATAAATAAAGACTTGGAGTATGAAACTTAGTGGTGACATTTTCAGGGAATACAGTTCGGAACATTTGAAAATCACCATTTTTTGGTCGTTTACCTTTGTTTCCCTCCATAAAACTTTTGTCAGGAATATTTCACGCATCAAAACGTTCTGGCCATCATGTTAAAACGGTAAAATTTCCACAAGTTCATGTGACTAGTTGCTAAATGTATAACTGCTATTACAGATAATTTGAAATAGTAATATTTATTTTATTATACTAGTTTCTTATTAAGTGCATATAATTTGTAATAATGCATAAACGTAACATGAAAGTCTAGTCCAAATAGAGGACCTCAATACAAAAGTTTATCAACCTGGATGAAATGGTAGTTTAATGGTTATGGTATCCCTCTAAATGCAAGTTTCTCTCCCTCTAAATGCAAGTTGTGGCTTCAGGACTGGTCTGCGTCAACACCTGAACTAAGGATAGGGAGTGAAGTAGTCGAACGCGTTGACAACTTCACTTATCTTGGAAGTCTGATCAGCCCTAATGGGTTGGTGTCTGACGAAATTTCAGCACGGATTCGAAAAGCTCGCTTGGCTTTTGCCAACCTGCGTCACCTATGGCGAAGGCGAGATATCCGTCTATCAATAAAAGGACGAGTACACTGCGCGGCAGTCCGTTCTGTTTTAATTTACGGCAGCGAAACATGGCCCTTAAGAGTAGAAGACACCCGTAAGCTACTAGTATTTGACCACAGATGCCTTAGAAATATTGCTGGCATCTGCTGGGATCATCGGGTAAGTAATAATGAGGTTCGACGCAGGGTATTAGGGAATGATGGTATATCAGTTGATGAGGTTGTGAATCTTCATCGACTGAGATGGTTGGGCCACGTGTTACGTATGCCTGAACATCGATTACCACGTCGTGCAATGCTATCCGGTATTGGAAATGGTTGGAAGAAAGTTAGGGGCGGCCAAGCCGACACGTGGCATCAGTGCTTGAAGTCACTAACTTCTAGTCTGAGCCATGTTGGTAGATGCAGACTACTTGGTTGGGGTCCGCGTGACTATCGTAACCAATGGTTGGAGATTCTTGGTGACATGGCTCAGAATCGATCACAATGGCGTCGGTGTATACACTCCCTGTCTTCCCTTAAACTAAGAGATTAAAATCACTTCAGATCTTTCTCTCTACGAACCAATTCTTCCTTCTTGTACTATATCTCCATATGCAATCTTTCTCTTATATATTACCACCTTTGACCTAACCACTGCTATGAATCCGGTGTTCATCTTGTTGTGCTGATACGGTATGGCAACCTGGACCGATGCACATATGTGCCTGGTCCTACGTTGTAGCTGGCTGACTGACTGACTGGCACCAAAGTTTCACTCTCCCTTAACCTAATTTAGCATAAGCAACCGTTTAGTATCACTAGTCTTGAAAAAAAATCTGTGAATTTAAGCTGAGTAAATGATTACTCAACAAAATATAAATATTCAGATTGTGTGTGTATTCACGAAACATGTAGGTGAATGTTTCCAAATAATCAAAAGGAAATGGGGTCTGTGAAATGAGAGATGACAATATAGTTCTACGAAGGGTTGCTTGAATCGGAAAAAATAAATTATTATTATTATGGAGGCAAAAAATTGGTGATAAGAATAACAGTTCAATTACCATCTAGTTGGATTTTCGAGTGCCCTTTAAAAAATCAACATCTTAAAGGTCAAAGAGCAATAACTAATTGTAAAATAGGTACGATGTTATGTCGAAGTAATAAAGACCCTCATAGAACAGCTCGGCTACACTAATAAAGTTGCCTAATACCCTTACTTCAGATGGAGTTTCGCATTATTAAGGTGTTTTAGGATGGCTGATTACGAATACAGTTGTTATCATAAGGATGGACAAAAGGCTGATCAATAGACGATAAGTAATGATAAGATATGAAGGCTCACAATATGGAAGCATAAATGGAAACTTCTGAATGAATCGATATCAAGAAACAACAAAGCGGCCAACTGAATAAATTTTTCTTTACTGTAAAGCGTTGCCCTGATATATACAAATTATTGAATAAAATTATAGAACAATTAGAAGTAATTTGAAACATGATTGATTATAAAATATGGGTTTAATTTACTAATCACACACCAACGAAACTATGACAAAACTAAATAGGTTAATTCTTAACTGTAATGCCACCTATAATAATCAATACAGTCGATTGTAAATGCTAAACAACCAGTTAATTAAGTCCTTTATATTTAATCGCGTTGTCACAGATCGATTCAGTGATGGTCACGAACGAATGACCATAAGATATCTCATTTTCAGGCTTCCGATGATTATTCAACTGAAATAATCACGTACGGCTGCTTACTTACTTACGCCTGTTACCCCTTATGGAGAAGCATTAGCCGCTCACCAGCATTCTCCATCCAGCACTCCTGGATAATCCTTTCCAGTTGTTTCTAGTCGCTATTCATACTTTTTATATCTGCTTCCAATTCCCGACGCAGTGTGGTTTTCGGCCTTCCACTTTTTCGTTTCCCTTCAGGATCCCAAGTTAGCGCTTACCTCGTGATGCAGTTTGATAATTTCCCCAATGTGTGTCCTATCCACTTCTAATATCTTTTCTTAATTTCCTCCTCAGCTGGAAGTTGGTTTGTTCTCTACCACAGCAGGCTGACGTATGACTGCAGTAATCTGTATTTTATTCATAACTGTGTTTTAATATGACGGGAATTTTTCAGTAACTAATAATTTAATTTTACTTTTGTAACTGAAAACTTAGTTGCTTGTCTAATAGGAATAAATACATAATCCACTACAAATAATTATGTTTTCTTTAACTTAAACACTGTACTCTTAAATGAAACATCATCCTACCTTCACACTCATTACAGTACTGGTGGCTATAGAGTTAGCAACCTCTACAGGAAACAAACGCAAAAAACTTTCATATTCGAGAAGTTGATTGTATGTAGAATGAAGTTCAGAAGACCATCCTTTGTATGCATCTAAGAACACAAAATACAAGTGAAACGAAGTGCAAATTTAACCAAACTAAGAGTAGTTTTAGTTGAATATGACTCTCAGTTTCGTGAAGTTTGCTAATGATTACACATCAATAAGCTCAAACATAAGAACAAGGAGTTATAGAAGAGAATAAACAAAACTATCAATTCAGATAGTCTTCTGTCAAGAAAATTTAAAATAATAGCCCAGATGATCATACCTGTGAATAAAATGACTTACTAACTAACAACCTACCTAAACAAACATTTACGCTGGCCAGGTTGTTTACTGAAGATCTACACAAGTTACACATTACTTTTCGTCAGAACTAACTGCCAGAAGTTGTTAGTGATGTGCCAGCTAATTTTTGCTGCCGACGATAAACTAGTATATCATACTGCAGTCGGATACTGATAAATATGGATTAATACAAGAATGTTTCTGACTTTCTTGTAAATCCCTTAATTTCATATTTCTTCCTAAAAATAGCAATTTTTATGTAACTTTTTAGGCGATGATTCTTGCTCAGGAAACCTACTCATTGATGTGAAATATCTAGTTGACTTTGTTCTGTTTAATGAGGACTGACGTAATTAGGATCATTTGAAGGCCTTGAGTAACGATGAACTGGAGAGCATTTCTTACCCCATGAATGCAAAATATTGCTTCTAGACTGGTCTGCATCAACATATAAACTAATGATAGGAAGTGAAGAAGTTGAGAGTATTTATCACTTCACCCATCTTGGAAGTCTCACAAGCTCTGATGGACTGGTGTTTGACGATATACAGGGACATATTCGGAAACCTTACTAGGCTTTTACCGAACTTCATCACCTTTGGTGTAAACGAAACGTCTGTCTACCAACCAAGGGATGAGCGTGCTGTTCAGCATTTAGCTCTGTTTTAACTTATGTCTCTGAAATGTTGCCTTCAGTGGCAAAAAGCATATTTAAGTTACAATTTCTTGAGCATAGGTGTTTTCGTAGTATTCTTGGTGTATGATGGAACAATAGAGTGAACAATACTGGGGTTGTGCACAAGGTACTAGGCAAAGATGTATTTATTTATTTATTTATTTGAACTCATGAATATTAGTACAAAAGCACACCGAATACATATGCGCTACACAAGTAACTCGATTTGTGTGTGGGCTGGGATACTTCCCAGGTTCCCAGACCGAAGCAGGTGGTTTTCATAGGGAGCCACATCCCGAGCCTTGGGCCGAAAGGTCTGACCAACAAGGCAGTGGAGCAACGTCAGGAGATGTAATCCCATGGTGGCTGCCGACCAACAATGGGTTCATACTCCATTTGTTCCCTCACAATCCCGGAGCCCATGTACACCATTGGTTTGGAATCAGTGTTTTTCAACTCCCCTAGGTGGATCCTCTGTATCCATCAACCCGGTTAAAGCGCCGGACAATCGCTTTTCATCCTCTCAATTTCGTAAACAGCACCCCCGCCACGAGAAGGAAGTGAGTAGGACTTCTTTGGAAGTAGCTGTATACGCGAGGCCATGTGAGAGCATTTTGAGGCGAGTGGAATCTCCCCACCCTCAGTCGTAACAGGGCATCGGGGACAAAGATGAAATCTATTTGATAAATTTGTGAATATTCGCTGACTACAGCAGGTAAAACAAGTGATACGCATGCAAAAATAAAGCCAACCACGAAGCGCAATGTTAGTTGGGACAAGAGTAGGTTGAAGGAAAGCAGGAAACGGTCAAAACAATAAGTGATATCAATCCATGAGATCACTGACTATTGGTCGAATCCGAATTGACACTTGTAGACTGCCAGGCAAAAGTTCAAAAGACAGCCAATATCAGTGGTCAAAGACGTTTGGTGATGTGGTTCAGAATCGGCCACAGTATCATAGATGCATTCACTCTTTATTTTTTGTGAGGTTCTGGTTTTCAAACATACTTGCCTGTTACTTCAAGAGTTCATCATGCAGGCATTAAATTTCAGAGGGGCTCTTACAACCCATTGATACCCGCTTATTTAACCCAACGAACTGTACCTACACCAACGTCCATATAACCTATGATAAAAAGTCCTCCAAATCATACATAAAAACCGTGAAGATCGATAATAATAATAATTCCTAATAATAGAGACAAATTTAACAGCTGAGTTTAGTGGTTTTGGCAGGTCATTTGAAGCAGTAACAAGCTTAGTGTCAATCGAACAATTTCTGTGGGATAAATTTGAACAACATTCAGGAACGCTTGGAATAAATATTGGGTTCGAAGAGCACTAAGTTGATGCCTTGACATAAAAATAAGTCATTAATTTTGTTTGCCAAAGAAGAATCGCTATGAAGATAGGTTCGATAACACTAAAATGAACAGTGACGCAGAATACACTTACACTTAATAAGTTCACTCGTACTTTACGAAAATACTAGAACTAGTACGAAAGATTGGAAACTAAAACTTAACACAGAGCACAGCATACAAAAAAGGACTGGGATCGAAAAATGGAAAGTACAGAATAACACTAGCTTTAAGATTTAGGGATCGATAGACGGAATACAACTAAGCCAATACAGCTGGCCCCATCATGTGTATCGTCATCCATCCAACGATAATGATCAATGTACTTACTTTAGATGTTAACCTTTTTTATATGGTATAAACCAACAACCAACAACTTGGTCGATAGGTTTTATACTGTTTCTTTCACAATGGCCCGATACCAACTATTGAGGTAGGCGGCGGTTTAATTTAAATTAAATATCCGCAAGCCCATCAACCAACATACCAGCCATACACAAAATCATATATATCAAACCTAGGTTGTTCACTTGGTGGCCAAATCATACTTAAAAGGCACTTATTTAAAGAAGGTAGAATATTTTTACGTTCCCTATCTACATGGACTGTTTCACAGCCACAGAGTAATGCAGTGCAACTGCATGGCAGCCTTTAGTTGTATTGTAACAAGATACGGTTACAGTGAATTATCGAAATGATGAGAATAGTGAAGAATGATTGACATACGATCCATTTTCTCGCCACTTTTAAGTCTTGGCGGTCATTTTTTATTGGTGCAATCTGTAAACTAATTTTATAATATGGGCTTAAAGAAGCGACTTTTCAGGATGAGATTCAAAATGAAAAATTTACCATAACATGTAACTAAAAGCATAGCGATAATATTGATTGACTTACTTAAATCCATTTTGTAAACCCAAAACGATCCGTTTGTCCAAAAAAGTTGATAAAAATTGGTAAAATCCTATTCTGTACTCGATAAAAACAGGTAATTTTAAAATAAAAATGTGAGGAAAGATGAGATAAGATCCCTGAAAGACTAAAAATTAGGGTAAAACAGCAAGTGTAGTTCGAAAGCAAATAAATAAAACGGAAAACGGCCCACAGGACAATTCGAAGCATGACGTAATAAGTAAGCTCAAAACTTGATAGAAAAAGAGCCAATTATGTAAAATAGTAGAATGATCCAGAAATCACACTTAGCATAATATTATCGCCTATTACTGACTATTGAGCCTTAAAAATTTCAAGCAATATTATAATATTAAGAGCTGAGACTACCTTTTTAAAAGAAAATTGCATTAAAAGAAACGTATGAAGTTTGTACATTTTCACACATACGTCGTACGTCCGTATCTGTTTTGAGCCCTAAGTGTGCGTGAAGTATTGAGATTTTATTGTCCTAGAATGTGGGCTACTGAGTAAAAGGTCAAATTATTAGTTAAGTTAGATGAATTTTATGACAAACGAGAGCTAAGTTTCTCAAGGTATTTGGAAATGTTAGCCAATCTAATTTGAAAACCTTAAGTTTGACATTTTGTCATCCATTAACATACTGCGTGGGATACAAATCATTTATTACTATAAAAATATTGCTCATATCCATGATGATACCACACATTCTTTAAAGAAAACACATTGTTACTAATAAATTGACGTTGGGCCGCTCATATACAAGCTCAAACTAATGTGTGAGTAATAATTTGTTGATTTTCCAGGGCAATCAGTAACATTTCATGCCTTATTTGAAAGCCAAGATGAAACAATCACATATGCAATAAGTAATTTCATGCTAAATTACCAAGTGCTAACTAATTTTCTAACTATCTGAGCGATATACGAAACGTCATTGTCTGAAATTAAGTCTATGCATATCTGACAAGTTTTAATGCATCGAATTATCAAACTTCTCAAAAAATTTAAGTACATTAGTACGCTTATCTAGGACTAGAATGAGCTGTCTTTCTCTAGAACAAGACCAACGAAACCAAAGTAAAAACAGTTTTATTTCAGGCGCGTAGCAAGACGTCCAAACCCCAAGATTGGTTAAATCAACGAACTATTTGTTCCCTGTTATCTCTATCTAACTGATAAGACAACTTCAAATGGTTCTGGATGGAATAGAAGCAGCTTTAGCTTGTTGGACGTCCGTATGTTGCAACAGAGAATCATCGTTACCTCCAGCCAGCAACCTGTAGGTTCCTATACTTATAGGGATATGATCGATAAAGAAGAAGGAAAAAGTGGCAAATCATAGTAAGGTACTATCCTTAGTCCTTAGGAATATTTCAAGTTTTTTCTCAAAGGATTCATGGGAAGTTGCAGCGAATTCCAGCATTTGACCACTCTCAAAGAGTAGAAGTTGCAGCGGTAAATAAATCCCCAAAATAAAAAGCTCTGTAAGTTTTCGACATTCGATGCTGACCAGATTAGTTTTAGTAGACTCACCTAGTTGAAGGCGCTCGGTCATGCATCCGCACCAGATCACGTGTGGGAACGCCGTGCTCAACTGCTACTGCGATCGCTAGCCAGACTAGATCAGACAATTCCGATATATTAGCAATCGTCAAATACAACTTCTGATCCCCTCTATTCTGTCTTTTGATTTCTCTTGGTGGGTACGAGTTATATTAGGTGTTACTGTTAAAAGCGTTTTCAAACACTGAATACCTGTGTCATCTTCAAATTTGGGTCTACAGTTCTTTGTGCTGTGTTGCGTTTCCAGTTTCTGGGTGTTATCTCTAAGTTTTGTGTTAGGACTAAGCTAAGGTATATTTTTAAAGAGATGTTTAGAAGTTTTAGGGAGGCTGTAAGCAATTAGAAGGTCACTTCTAAAACGCCTATACCATAATGAGTAAAGATTTAGTGATTGGAGGCGCTCTTCATAAGGCTTGAATTTGAGTTTCCGAACTGATTTCATGACGCGCCGTTGGATAGTCTGAAGAGTGTCCTTATCCTTTTTGAGTGAGGGAGGAAATACTATGTTTCCGTACTTTAAATAGGGACGAATAAAACTGTTGACGATTATATGGTAAGATCTTCCGTCAATCTGGCCAAAAATGCGCTTCAATGTTACCAGTGCAAGGTTTGTTCGAAAGGCATTTTTGACACAGCCGGCATAAGACTTCAAATCTCAGGGTACCAACACTCCTGAATCTTTTTTCACCTCAGCTGTTGGGAACTTCCAGTTTCGGCTTGTCGAGGAGAGGCTGTGTAACTGAGTAAGCTTTCCTGACTGGAGAGAAATTTATGGATAAGCTCTGTCTGGTGCTGAAGCCTTTTTCTCTTATCGCCTTTGTGCATATGTTCTATATTTGTTGGTACTGCTCGTATGCGCTGTTGTTATCAGTTCGTTCGTATTCTGCCTAGAACTGCTTTCGGAAGCTTGGAAAAACAAGAGTGCGGTTCTTGATGACTGTAGGTTACTTGTGGAATTTGAGGACTATTAGCAGAACAGAATGCCGTAGAGCACATAAGATCGCGTGCAGTAAGAAATACTAATGAGCATCTAAACCGTGTTAAGAGCGAACTTTCCAGCCCACTTGCTGTAGATTTTCCTGTGAAGCTGACAAGTCCGACCGTTTAAAATTCCAGCGCTTGCTGTTGGTGGGATATCTTGATCCAGTTTTGTTGATAAAACTGAGGGTTATGATGGCGTGATAGCTTTTTCTAGGGAAGCCAGAATTAAATGGATGTTAATTAGTTCTTTTTTGTAAATACACAGTCTAAGCGCGATGGCGAATCATAAGAAATATTCGGGTCTTATTGTGTTCTTTCTTAAATGTAATGGTCGAAAAATCCAGTGAAATTCATCACTTAGTTGCACATAACAACCACCCCCTATATCAATAAGAAAGTGAACTTAGTCTTCTCTCCAGACAGTCTACACAACCTTTCGTTCATATGATATATATATATATATATATATATATATATATATATATATATATATATATATATAGGCTGCTACGTCGAAAAGCTTGTTGATACTACCGAAAACTTTTAATAAAAATAGTATCGCGTAAAGAAATTTGTATTTTAAGATTCTAAGTGTAATAGCTAAAAATGTTAGCTTGTAATCATGGAGAGCTAAGATACCCGCTCGAACTATATGAAGGATGTGACAAAAGAAAACTCAATACTCCACTTTACGCGAAGACAACTCGGCACAATCACACCAAAATTGTTCCTAACACCTTTCAAAGCTTACTCTCGGCCCCACCTTGAATTTCACAATGTTAATGCAGAACCCTTCCTCATAAGACATACCCCTTTTATACCAACAATAGAGATAGAAAATAAAGTCGGCGACAGTGAGGTCAGCATCAATGTCAAAGATACAAATAACTATTTAACCTGTTGATTTATTTACCTCTAAATATGAGTTGAATTACGGTATCCAAGTCTATATTATTCATAATGTATTGCTCTGATCCCTTGGCTTGATTCATGGGTCCGTATGATGAAGGCCAGGTCGCACCTAAAGGACCAAATATATTTGCTCACTTTTCGTTATATGAGCCTTTTTCGCTTACAGAAGATCAAGGGTGATTTTACGTCTTTCGAGACAAATCATCCATGTAAGAAATTCAGGCGCAAAAGGACTCGTACAAACCACGAAACTTTGTCTTCGAGAACTAACTGTCTGCGATTTGTACACTGAAACATGAGTATGAAGCTTACAATGAAGACCAGATTCACTGGTTGAATCCAGCTGAGGCACTGTAGAAACACACAAGACTGGCTTCCCCTAAAATCAAAAAAATTAGAATTCATTATCCGTGATACTCGCTTAGTCATTTTCCTTCTCCATTTAATATGTAGAATGTGTAATAAATTCATAAACAACTCCATTAAATGTTTTATATTAGTGTGCATGAATAACTAGGCGTCAGAAATGTGACGTCAATTCGGTAAGACAACCTCATTGGTTTGAGGCGAATTCACTTGAATCATATATTTTGTACCTGTTGAATCTACTCCGTAACCTGTACACCGAAAAAGATATTGAGTATTTAACCAACATTGACCTTCGAAATAGCTAACCTTGTGTAACCAGGTCCGTTCCTTAGAGGCTGTAAGATGACAAAAGAAAAACCAGGTTTCCTAACTCCAAAAGCTATATCAAACAGAATCAAATCGAAGGGACTGCAAAAACTGCGATGGTACTGTCAGATGTGTCAAAAACAGTGCAGAGATGAAGTAAGTACCTGCTACTTTCCGACGTTAATTTTAAGAATGGTTACAAATGCCATACGATGTCGGAGTCCCACCACAGGCAAATGAAACTTTTTGCCGAAGACGGTGGAAAGTTCATCAGCAGTTTCTCTTCTGATTTTTTGAAAGGATACCTCGACATACTACGTCGACAGTTTGGTGGGAAACGCGTGCATTCCAATGTCGTTTATCAAGAATATATCAAAGACAAAGAACATATACATATGAATGCGACGAGATGGCATACACTTACAGGACTGTGCATGTGGCTTGGAAAACAGGGAATTTGCAAGGTAGATGAAACTGAGAAAGGGTGGTTTATCGAATACATCGATCGCGACCCAGAAAAGTTGAAAAAACAAGAACAGAGTGAGCGTTTGGAAAAGACAGAAGATGAAATCAACAAACAGTTTCTAGGTAAACTCGTGATTGCTAACTGTATTGATTTGTAGAGCGTCAAATAGAACACAATATCAACAAAGTTGAACAAACGGAAGGTCCCGTATACACTCCTCTCATCCGCACCAATGAAGATGAACCAATTAAGTTGGAGATTTCTTTGTCTCAAAAAAAGCCACCTGTCCAGGTGATCAGCACAGAGATTGATCCTTCCCCAAGTTCTTCGGAGGAAAAACCTACTCAAAGTCTTATGACGTTGGGTCCGAAAAAGGAAAGAACTGCAGTAAGCAATCCTATTCTCTTTAATACTAGTGGTTGTCACTTCAGTTGATCGAAGTCATAGTTCAGTGTATTTTATCTTCTCATCAGGTTTTGTTGAAGCTGAATTTTAAGCAAGTATCTTGTTTCTTCTGATAATGACTTCAACTTTTAGACTTAATTTCTACACTTGCGATCGTGGTGTTGTTGCAGTTTTACCGTTTTAACATTTTACACACTTTGACTTTCAGAATCCACTCTTGATTGCTGAGAAAAAAGCACGTGAAGAAAAATCCAAATCTAGTTCTGAAAAGAAGCAAGACACACGTACTACAGCAGTTTCTGGAGTTCGTCGACGTGCCTTGGATGAATTAATGGAAAAAGAAGAAGCTCTTAAGGACAAGAGAAATCGAAGAGATTACTGGATGACGGAAGGGATTGAAGTCAAGCTAATCAATCGCAAACTTCCTGATGATCTACGTTGGAGACATGCCACAGTTTTGAAGATGCTGGATAATTACACGGTTAGTGTGACTAATTATTCATCCACATTTAAATTTTATGCAGTGCTAGTTTACATATTCCTCCATTTTGAGGAATGAAACAATTAACCTTATCTTTTGCGATAGTTCCAAGTCTACTGTTGTTTGTATATTTCTCAATGTAGGTTTCACTCTATATATTCTAAAGCGAGTTTAGCTCCATAATTAACAATTCGGAAATCTTTTATAATGGCTAATGTAAAGATCATCAAATTTCTGTAACCAGTTCGGGATACTATACTTCTGTGAATCAGGCAAGTTTCAAGTAACGGGTGGTTGTAAAGTTAATTGCTTACCAAGCGTAATGATATGTAAATGAGTCCACATATTTAAGCAATCAGACATCTTATTACTTAAGACTAATCAAGTTACTGTCACCTCAGTAACTCACATGTTCCTGGAAATAAGCTCTTGAACTGAGTTCAGACTGTTGTTATTGTCTTGCCCATCTTGAGGACCCAACCAAACGTTATTTGAATATTTACTCTCTGAGGTCTTAACATTCTGTTCAAGCCGTCTTAAAAGTGGCTAATTCGAAAGCATAGAATTTTAGAATTAAGAGTAAAACTATGCTACAACTTCTGTACTGAAA